CCGGCGTCGCCGGCGAGTGGACCGCGGACGCGGCGTGCCAAGTCGTCGCGGAGTTCGACAACTCGTATTCGCTCCTCCGGCCCAAGGCCGTCCGCTACCGCTTCCGGGCGGAGCAGCCCAAGGCCGAGGACGTCGTCGCCGCGCGGTGCCGCCCCGACGACGACGCCGGCGTGCTCTCCGGCGTCGCCGCGCGGCACCGGGCCGCGGCAGAGAGGCGCGACGCGGCGCTCGCGAAAGTCCAAGCGCTCAAGCGGAGCCAGGACCGCGCGCGCGACATCTACCTCAAGGCGCAGGCGTCCCCGCCGCCGCCGCGGCCCCCCTCCCTGCTCGGCGCCTTCGACGACGACGACGACGCGCCGTCGCCCGCCGCGAAGCACGAGCGGCCGCCGGCGCTCGGCCTCCTGGACCTGCCCATGCTCAACGTCGCGGACCTCGACGCCGCGGGCGACGACGACGACGACGACGACGACGGCACCTGGGACCTGCCCGCGGGGGCCGAGAGCCGCCAGCCCGCGCCGCGCGCGCTCGCGCCTACGTAAAGGCCGACGCTGAAGGGAACCTTGCACTCGCTTTGGCGACTACTGCTCGCGTCGTGCTCGCCACTGCCGACTTCTGCTAGCATCGTCCGACTTCTGCTCGCGCTGTTCTCGCCTGCCATTGCTGCTCATCGTCCGACTTCTGCTCGTCGCCGTGCTCGCCTGCCACTGCTGCTAGCATCGTCCGACTTCTGCTCGCGCCGTGCTCGCCTGCCGACTGCTGCTCGCGCCGTGCTCGCCTGCCGATCGCGCCGTCGCCATGGACGACGAGGTCGACGTCGCGGCGGTGCAGGGCGAGCTCTGGGAGCGCCTCGCGGGGCAGCAGCCGCTGACGGCGGGCTTCGAGCGCACGCTCGCCAAGCTCGTGACGAAGATCGAGACCTACGGCTTCGCGAGCGACTGCCGGCCCCTGGCGGGCGTCCAGCTGGCGCGGCCCTACGCGGCGGTGGCCGCCGCGCCCGCGCGGGCCGGCGACGCGACGTTCGGCTTCGCGGCGCGCGTGCTCGGCGACGTCACGGCCGGGACGGACGGCTGCGCGCCGTTCTACGCCGGGCGCGTCATCGCGGGCGTCGCCGCGGCCTGCGCGGCGCTCCCCGCGGCGTCCGCGAGCTCGCGCGTCGACGCCTACTCGGTCTTCATGGGGCTGGCCAACCTCGTCAAGTGCCACCCGGGCCCGGGCGCGGACGTCGCCGCGCTCGGCGTCGCGGCCGCCGCCGCGGCGCGCGTCGCGGGGGAGCCGGCCTACGGCGCCGAGGCGCGGCGCCAGGCGTGCCGCGTGCTCAGCGAGGCGCCCATGCTCGTCGTGCGGTCCGCGGAGCTGCGCGCGCGGGGCTCCATGGACCGCGCGATCGAGCTGCCGCCGGCGGCGGCCGCGGCCGTGCGGTCCTTAGCCGACGTCGCCGCGGGGCCCCTCGTCGCCTGCGCGGCGCAGTACGGCTCCGGCGAGCCGCCGTCGGCGGCGGAGCGAAAGGCCGCGAAGCGCGCGGCGAAGAAGGACGCGAAGAAGACGGCGAAAAAAGCCGGCGACGGCGACGCGACGCTCTACCTCCCCGCGACGTCGCGCGAGGCCGCGTCCGCGCGCCTCCGCGCGCAGAGCTTCACGGCCCTGGGCCACCTCTTCGCCTGCGCGGCGTCGGCCGCGCGCGTCGCGGAATTGGCCGGGCGCGCCTTCGCGGAGGCGGCCGCGCGGCAGCTGAGCGCCGAGGGCCGCGCGGCGACGCCGGCGGACGAGTTCCCGAAGACGGCGCGCAAGGTCGCGACGTGCTACGGCAACTCGACGCGCGACGACGGCGTCTGGGGCGCCATCTCCCGCGACGCGGACGCGTACCTCGTCGGCCTCGTCGCGCTCCTCGCCGTCGTCGACGTGCCGCCGGACCTCGCGTCCATGTCGCAGCACCGCGACTTCTTCGACACCAGCGACAAGGCCTCGATGATCACGGCGCCCGCGGGCGTCGCGGCCTGCAGCCTCCACTACACGCTCGACCGCGCGCGGCGCGACGTGACGACCTTCCGCGCGCACCTCGCGACGCTGGCCAAGGCGAATTTAGGCGAGACGCTCGTCGCGGCGCTCGAGGCCGCGGAGCCCGAGGTCGCGTCGGAGGCGGCGAAGCTCGCCGTCGAGCTCCTGGGCCAGAAGACGATCGACGGGCCCGGCCGCGCGGCCGCAGTCGCCGTCGTCGCGGCGGACCCCGCGTTCCACGTGCTGCGCCTCGAGGAGCACAAGGGCTTCGTCAAGGCGGCCGTCAAGCTCGCGCGGGCGCCGGGCCGCGAGTGCTACGGCGCGGGCCTCGTGTCCGCGATCGCGGAGCAGGCGCGGGGCACCGCGGGCCTCAACCGATGCGGCAAGGCCGGCGCGAGCCTCGCGCTCGCGGGGACGGCGCTGCCGCGGCTCGTCGCCGGCTGGCGCGCCGGAGACCGCGACGCCTTCGGCGTGCAGGCCGTCGTCCTCGCGCTCCACCGCCTGAGCCGCCTGCCGTCCGAGGCCGCGAAGATCGCCGGCGCCGCCGGCGCCGTCGACGCGCTCGCGGCCGCCGCGGCGCTCGCGGCGGAGGGCGCGCCGACCGCGGGGCTCCGGCACCTCGCGCAGAGCGTCCTCGCGGAGTGCGCGTGCTGCGGGCCCGACGCGCGGCGGCGCATCCTCGAGTCGGGCGCCGCGGCCGCCGCGCTCGACCAGGTCCGCCGCGACCCGGACGCGCTGTTGCGGACCGTTCCCATGGAGAACACGGACGGCCTCGTCGTGCCCAAGATCTACGCGCTCACGCTCGTCGGAAACCTCTGCGACGAGAAGCGATGGATCACGACGACCGTCGCCCGCGACGACAAGTTCCTGCGCTGCGTCCTCGCGGCGCTCCGGAGCGACGCCGTCGCCGGCGCGGCGGCCGTCGGGGCGCACGTCCTCGGCGGCCTCGCGCGCGCGGCGCGCGGCGACGACTCCCGCGCCGCGCTCTGGCGGCGGTTCCGGGTCCACGAGGCCGTCGTGCGCGCCGCCGTCGCGCGCCTCGACGGCCGCAGCGAAGCGGGCTTCGTCGACCAGCAGAAGCAATCGGACGTCGGCGCGCTCGAGGACGGCCTCGTGGAGTCGGCGCTCCACGTCCTCACCTTCGACTCGCTGGAGCGCGACGACGACTCCCGCGCCGCGCTCCGCGACGCCGGCGCCGGGCGGATCCTGGAACACGCGCTGCGGGACGCCGAGAGCAGCCTCGCGCGGCGCATGGCGCCCCTGGCGCCGCTGCTGCGGCTCCAGCTCGGCCTGACGTCGGGGGACGCGGCCGCCTGGACCGCCGCCGCCGCGGCGAGCCTCGCGGCGACCGTGACCGACCACGTCTACCACGACGGGTCGTCCGGCGACAAGGTCCTCGACGGCATCCGCGCGGAGCGCGACAACGAGAACAGGCGCGTCTGGCAGTGCGACAACCCGGCCTGCGAGGCCGCGGCCGCGCCGTCGGCGCAGCTCCTCAAGTGCGCGCGCTGCAAGCGGACCCACTACTGCAGCCGGGAGTGCCAGAAGGCGGACTGGAGCGTGCACAAACTCACGTGCCGCAAGGCGGGCGCGAAATAATCTAGACTCATCCCTGGTTGCGGTTCATTCCGGTTGAAGCGCCCGGCATCCCGACATCCCCCACTTCCGCGACCGCATGATGGCCCATGATCGACATCCTCGACAAGAAGCTCCACCGTGACTCCGCGGAGTACCAGTAGGTGGCTAAGCATTCGGGTGTTGGTTGTGGGGTCTGGGGAGAGGTCCGAGCCGGCGCACGGTTCGGGTCTAGTACTTGATGAGGATGCAGGCGTCGTAGGGGAAGACCCAGTAATCTACAGTGCCCGAGCTCTCGAGTGGAGCTCGAGGTTCATGCGGAAGGCGCTTTACAACGAACCATTTTTTATGAGCACATTGCTTGCTGACAAGGTAAGACATTCCGCCGCAACATGTCACTTGAGAATCCCAACCCACAATGAAAGGAGATCCAGGTGGCGCTCGCTGACATAAGCGCTTTAATTCGTCCTCGTCGGCGATGATGCGGATCACGGATTTGCCTGCTCGCAGCTCGCGCCACTCCGTCATGGGTGCCTCGCCCGACATCGCACCACCAAGAACCGAAGCGACACCGCTGGCTCCAGCGTCGGCACCCTGTCTCAAGAGCTTGACTTGAAAAATTTTCAATTTCACGGCCTGCAGCGTGAGCATGATCTCCAGCGACGACGAGAGCGCGTCGGCGCGATCGAGGTGGTCTTTCATCGCAGTGAGCGATCCGCCAGTCAGTCTTCCATCAGCCATGGCCTTGGCGCTCTCGAGGTGCCACGCCGCCGCCGCGTGGTCGTCGACAGCGCCTCCCTCAATAACAGTGAGGACGAGCGTCCGCGTCTGCCCGGAATCGACGAGGCGCGTTCCAATTTTTGCGTTCGTCACAGGAGACGTCGCCTTTGACTCGAACCAGCGCGCGATGGCCTCGCGCTCGTATACCTTGCCGTCTTCGGCAAGGACCGGGCGCACTGGGAGGGCCGAGGTAATGGGGCACAGGAGGTTTTCGACCATGGCTCGAGCCAAATCCAGGCCCGCATCCTGTGATTTCTTCGCCTTCTTAGCCGCTGGCTTTGACATGGATGGTCGCAGGGAAGGCCAGATGTTCCCGACGGCGTAGAATCACTAATCACTCTGCACTAAAGCTCAAAGCAGCCCATCGCATTTAAAAAAGAGCAGCCCATCGCATTAAAAAAAATGCATATTGCATCTGCAACCTAGTATTATAAAACCGCAGCCCCTTTGGCTCAAGGATTAGGCAATGATGCGCCCCCCATGCACGCCCTGCCGGCGGTCCGCCCCCGGCGAGGACCTCGTGTCGCTGCGGGCCTTCCTCGACGACTACGACTCGCGGCCCCGGGAGCGCCGTCCGATTTACGGCCGGCGCGACGCCTTCCCCGCGCCGCCGCGCGCCTCCGGCTCCTTCGACCGGCCCCTCGTCTCCCCGCCGGCGCCGCCGTCCCTCGTGGTGCCCGCGCCGCCGCCCCCGCCGGCCTTCGGCGCGGCGCCCGGTGAGGCGCCGGCGCGGGGCCGGCGGCCCGTCGAGCTCCGCGAGTTCCTCGCGTCGGAGGAGCCCCGGCCGAGCGCGACGGACCGCGTCGCGCTGCGCGCGTTCCTCGGCGAGACCAAGTCGCGGGAGCTCGTCGCGGCGGCGCGCGCGGGCGACCTCGGGCGGCTCCGCGCCGTCCTGGCCTGGGGCTGCGACGTCGACGGAAGCGACGACGACGGCCCGCCCGAGGGCGAGGAGCGGTGGACGGCGCTGTTCTACGCGGTCCGGGGCGGGCGGCTGGACCTCGTGGACGCGCTCCTCGACGCGGGCGCGTCCGTGGACCGCGCGGACCTCGACGGGTGGACCGCGCTGCAGATCGCCGCCGAGGCCGGCAGGCTCGGCTGCCTCCGGCGCCTGCTGCAGGCCGGCGCGGCGCCGGACCGCGAGGACATGGACGCGCTGACGCCGCTCATGTACGCGGCCATGGGCGGCCACACGGCCGTCTGCGACGCGCTCCTCGACGCCGGCGCGCACCCGAACGCCGTCGACGACCGGGGCTGGGCGCCCCTCAGCTACGCGGCGCGCGGCGACCACGGCGCGACGCTGCGGCGCCTGCTGGACCGGGGCGCCGCGCCCGGGGCGCCGCCGGGCGTGCGGACGGCCTTCTCTCTCTACGCGCAGCACGGCACGCGGCCGGGCGTGCTCGCCGCGCTCCTGCGGCGCGGCGCGGCGGCGGACGCGCGCGGCGCGCTGCGGTCCTTCTCGCGGCGGCCGGAGCACTGGGCCAAGATCGACGCCATCGACGCCGCGGGCGGCTGGGAACCGTTCTGCGCGCGGCACCGCCGCGGGGTCTTCCGCGTCGTCGCGCGCGCGTGCGCGCGGCTCCCCGAGGTCCTCCACGCGCTCGTCGTCGACTACTACGCGCCGCCCGGCGGCAACTTTTAAAGGAAAAGCCACGGTGCGTTAGGGCAGCAGCAGGCCCTTGGAGAAGGCGCGGACGGCCTTGAACTTGGCGCGCGCGGCGAGGCTCTGGCGCCGGTACGTCGACGGGGGCAGCGCGACGATGAGGCCGTCGCCCCGCTGCCAGGGCAGGGGCTCGCCCTTGGCCGTCGGGTTCACGACGGGCGGGTCGTAGGCGACGTCGCGGTCGAAGCGCGGCGGGCCGCGCCGGAGCCGCGACCAGCCCAGCAGCACGCCGCCCGTGCGCCGGCGGACCGCGTCCGCCGCGTCGCCGTAGGACGCGACGCGCTCGCCGAGGACGTCCGCCGCGTCCAGGGCCCGCAGGCAGGGCTCGCCGACGGCGTGGCGGCCGAGCCGGAAGTCGAGGCCCAGGAGCGCGCGGATCGTCTGCACGCCGAACTCGGACAGCGCGGACGACGTCAGCGCCGCGGTCTCCAGGAAGTTGCGGTGCACGATGAGCGTCTTGCCGATGGGCGCGAAGGTCGCGTCGGGCTTGGCGTCCGGCAACCGCTCGTAGTCGTCCTCGCTGTCCGACGAGTCGTACGTCGTCTCCGCGCGCTCCTCGAGGATGTCCGCGTTCGTCGCGAAGACGCGCGCCGTCAGGATGTCGAGCAGCTGGGGCACGATGGTCAGCGTGTTCGTCGCGAGGCCGTGCTTGACGAGGCGCTCGTGGAGGTCCCGGAGCAGCACCGTCGACGTCACCGTCTCCGAGTCCTGGAGCTGGAGCTCGGAGCCGCCCGTCGCGCGCTTGTCGCTCGCCTCGTCGGCCATGACGATGGCGGCCTCGAGCCTCGTGAGGGGTAGGCGCTTGAGCTGCGTCTTGTCCGTCGGGAAGCCCACGAGGTGCTCCAGCGTCGCGTTCGCCAGACCCGGCTCCTCGACGATCGCGAGCTTGGACCCGTCGAGCGCGAGCCCCTCCTCCTCGAGGAGCACGCGCCGCTCCTCGAGGCGCTTCTCGGACAGGATGAGCACGCGGCTGCCGGCGCCGACGTGGCGGTCGATCTCGCGGCAGAGCGGGCCCACGCGCGCGTTCCAGCCGACGAGCGCGACGTCCAGCACCCGCTTCGTCGGCTCCAGCACGATGTCCGCGCCGTCCTCCGGCGCCGAGGCCTTGCAGTCGTCGGCCGGCGCGACCTTGCTCCCGCCCTTGTCGGGGGGCCGCTTCTTCGCGTCCGCGAAGGACCTGGGCGGCACAAGAGTGATTCAACGTCGCTTCAACGTGAGTGTTCCGCGCGCGCGCGTTCCGGAAAAAGCATCCACGCGTCGAGACCGTTCCGAGAGATGATCGCTCGTCCAAAAATCAGCCGAAACGAGTGGAAAATGGCCGAGATATGAGCCTTTGAAGTTGGGAATGTCGCTCTCTTGTCCTGCCCCGCGAAGGACGCGTCGTGGGCCACGGCCACCAAGCCGTCGCCCGCGCGGACCCGCACGTCGTCGGACGGCGCCAACACGACGTGCGTCGCGCCGTCCGGCGCCAGCCCCAGCACGACGGCGTCCTCGAAGCGCCGCCGCACCTCGCCGAAGCACAGGCCCTCGACGCCGGCGAGCGCGGCGTCGACGACCTCGACGTCGTTGCCCTTGAAGCTCAACAAATCGAGGCACACGGCCCCGACGGCGGGCGCGAGCGCGCAGCGCACGAGGACCGCGTCCACGAGCGTCGCCGCTAGGATGGGCACCAACCGCCGCTCGCCGCCCAGGCGATGGAAGACGTGCGTCGACTGCGAGAGGCGCAGCTCGGCGAGGAGCGCGGACTGCGGCGCCGCGGCCATCGCGCGGAGCGCTAGAACCGTCGACACGGTCTGCGCGTCCGCGTCGCGCGGCGACTGCGACGCGCCCAAGTACGATGATCGTCGCCGCGGCCTGGGCGCTCACCTTGGCCAGGTCCTCGACCTCGAAGGACTTGCCCTCGCGACACACCACATCCACGTTCGGGAACGCGCGGCCCCAACTCGGGAACGCCTGGACGATCTCCCCGCGCATGGTCCGCTCGTCGAGCTCGCCCAGCACCACGATGACCTCCCGGTCCCAGCCCTCGGCGTGGGACTGGGCCATCTCCGCGATCTCGCCCAACAGGAAGAGCGTCCGGTCCGTCCAGCCCAGCACCAAGATGTGGCCCGTGACCACGGTCTTCCCGTAGCGCTGGACCCAGGTCGCCATGATCAGCCGCACGCGCTCCACGATGAGGCCCAGGAGCACGAGGTTGAAGACGAACCCTAAAATGGAGAAGACGACCGCGACGACCTTGGGCGCGAGCCGCTCGTCGCCGGCGAGGCCCGTCTGCGTGCCCGGGTCGAAGAAGACGCCCCAGGAGAACCAGACGGCGTCGCGGAAGCTCATGTTGTAGTCGGAGGTCTTGGCCGCGCCCGTGCCGATCCACGCCGCCGCGCCGCTGAGCACCAGACCGCACGCGACGACGAAGAGGAGCACGAACTGCCCGAGGCCGTGGCCCAGGAGCCACTCCTTGAGCTTCCACCGCGCGACGCCGCCCTCCTCGAAGGTCTTGTCGTGGGCCTCGCCGACGCGCTGCTTCGGCCGCCGCAGCGTCATGGACGCGCGCGCCGAGCTCGCCGCGCGGAAGAGGTCCCGCGCCGACTGGCGGACGGAGTTCGTCGGCGCCTCGTCGGCCTTGGCGCAGTTGTCGCGCCAGGCCGTCGCCAGGGACTTGCGCCGCCGCGGCATGGCGCGCGCGATGAGGGGCTACGGGCACGAGGCTTCCAGGACGGGGCAGGCCATACGACCGACCGGTGTGCGTGCGATTAGTGAAATGCTCACTCCACTTCAAGGTCCGTTGTTGACCCCAGCTGGTGCACCGGGCTGCACTCCGGGCAGCCCCCATGCCGCCGTCGGCGTCGTCGGAGGCGTCGGAGCCGCGGCGCGACGACGCGGAGCATCGCGACGACGAGTCGCGGCGCGACGCGCGCCGGATCGCTGGCGCGGGCCGGAGACCGTCCTGCTGAGGCAGCCGGCCGTGCGGGGCGCGCCGCCCGCGCCGGGCGCCGCGGGCACGCGCGGCGACTGGTGCGCGAGGTACGACCCGCGCGGCCGCGTCTGGCACCTCGAGGACGCCGGCGCCGCCGCCGACGGCGCCGCGGAGCCCAAGGCGGCGCCCGCGGCCGCCGCGCCCGGCCGCGCGCCGCGCGCGGCCGCGTCCGGCGCGGCCGTGGACGCGCGCGCCTCCCACGGCGCGGCGACGGCGTGGAACGTGCTGCCGACGCACGCCTCGGACTCGGAGCCCGACTCCGACGACTCGGACGTCGTCGCGCTGCCGCGGCCGCCCGACTACTGGCCCGGCGAGGACGGCGACCCGCAGCCCAAGCGGCACCGCCGCCGACCCCGACGACGGGCGCCGTCCGACGCCAAGGGCGGCGGCGGCGCCAAGGGCGGCGACAGCGACGACGGCGACGCCAATAGGACGTCGATTGTGATCGTGCCCCCCCTCGATGCGGCCGTGCATGGGTCGCGGGGCACCAGGACTTAGGAGGTGCGCGCTCGCCGCGATCGCGCGCCCCCGCCGCGGGCGCGCGCGCCGGCCCGGCCTCGCCGATGAAAAAGGCCTACTCCTTGACGCCGAAGCTTTCCCGGGACGTCTCCTTGGCGCCCTCGGCGTACTTGATGACCGTGTAGTACATCTTGCCCTCGTGGGCCATCTTCGGCTGGAGGCTCTCCTTGACGCACGCGCGCACGACCTTAGTGACGATGGCCGACGCCTTCAGCATGCCCGACATCTGCGGCGCGGGGGCGCGGGTGAGTCGCCGTGGGTTCGGCGGGCGGGGGGGGGAGTTCTCGCGCGCGGGGGAGGGAGCCATTCGCGCGCGCGCGGCGTCGCCGCCGCCGTCGCCGTTTTCGCCGCGGCGCGCGAGCGCGGCGCGGCCGGGGCCGGCGCGCACGGCTTCGGCGGCGCGCCGCGTCGAGCGGCGACGGCGCGGACGACGTCGGGCGGCGGTGGGCGGCGGTGGGGTCGTCGGGGGGCGCTCGATCGTCGGCGGGGCGCCTCACCTCGCCGTCGTCCACTCGCGGCTTTGATGAGCGCGCGTGTTGCCGCACATCTTGATGTTTAGCCGGACAAGCCCTTCAATGCAAACGGCACCTCACAACGCATTTACGCTTCCGGGCAGCCGCGCGTCCGACCGGTTTGAGTTACTGGTCCGCGCGCGATATGGCACGCACCGCCTCGCTCGTCCTCGCGCTCGCGGCGGGCGCTTTCGCCCAGCTCCACGAGGTGTCCCGGGAGTGCAAGGCCGTGTGCAACGACCTCATCTCGGAGCTGCCCCAGGGCCTGGACTGCCGCCAGTACCGCATGATGCTCCCGCGACCAAAGGTCGGCAAGGCCTGCACGTCGGCCTACGACGACGGCGCCTTCGCCGCCTGCACGTCCCTCTGCGACGGCGAGGACCTGCCGAAGAAGGACGGGCTCATGGGCAACTTCTGCCGCAAGTACCTCAGCGACTACCCGAAGCCGACGATCCACAAGTCGTGCCGCACGGGCTACGCGACGGGCTTCGACAAGTCGGCGAAGATGGCGCGCGAGGTCAACTTCGAGGGCGTGTCGCCCTACACCCGCGGCAACGAGGAGCCCGACGCGCCCCCGGTCACCATCGAGACGAAGCGCGAGACGCCCGCGGCGCCCAAGGCCGAGCCGGAGAAGGCCGCGGCGCCCGAGCCGCCGGCGGCGCCCAAGCTCCTCGTCAACATGCCCGTCACCGTCGACGACACGGAGATCTTCCTCCAGATCTTCGAGGGCGACGACGCCACCAAAAAGGTCAGCGACTTCTGCGCGGAGTACATGTCCGACAGCGCGGACTCGTGCGTCCGCCAGCTCACGCCCCACGTCGAGAAGAAGCTCGCCGCCTAGAGGCGCGCGCGAAGCCAAAACCCGCGCGCCTCCTCCTAGGCCGCGCCCGCCTTACTCGAGATCCGCCAGGTCGTCGTCGTCGACGTCCGCGCCGTCGACGACGTCGCCCGTGACGTCGACGACCTCGGGGCGGTCGAGCGCCGCCGCCGCCGCCGCGGCGGCGTCGTCGGCGGCCGCACGGTCCGCCTCGAGCTCCCGGGCGTCCGCCGCGGCGTACGCGGCCTCGCGCGCCGCGTCCTCCGCGGCCTCGAGCGCGCGCTTCGCGGCGAACGCGGCGCGCTTCGCGTCGCGCTTCTCCCGGGCGAGGCGCGTCGCCTCCTTGGAGAAGAGGCCCGCCGTCGCGGGCGTCCGCGTCTCGGCCGTGTCCCGGGCGAACGCGCGGCCCTCCTTCCGCGGCGGCGGCGGCCGGTAGGGGTCGTCGCGCATCTTGCGGCAGATGGCGGCCACCGTGCCCATGATGGCGTGGCACTGGGCGTGGGGGCCGACGCCGACGATGCCGACGTCGCGGACGCCGTCGACGAACGCGCGCCACCGCAGGTCGCCCGACGCGCGGAGCGCGGGCAGCTCGGGCCGTTTCAGGAACCGCGCGAGGCTCGTGGGCTCGGCGATGCACTCCTCGGCGAAGCGCTTCATCTCGTCCGTGACCTTGGACGCGCTGCCGTAGGGCCCCGGCTCCGGGCCGACCTTCAACATGAGCGCGCTCAGGTTCGCGATCTTCACCTGGAGCAGCTTGCGCTTGCCCCGGGCGACGAGGGCCTTCTCCTCGTCGTCCATGTCGAGGACGTCGTCGGCGGCCTCGGCGAGGTCGAAGACGCCGTCGTCGTCGGCCTCGCAGTCGAACTTGACCTCCTCGTACGCGCGCTCGCCGACGGGCTCGAGCTCGACGTCGTACCTTAGCAGCTCCTTCGAGCTCGCCGTCGTCGCGGCGGCGCCCGCGAGCTCCTTGGGCGCCCGGGCGACCTCGCGCGCCGCGAGGACGGTCCCGACGCGCCCGTTGTAGCGCCGCGCGCCGCGCAGGCCGTGGACGCGGCACCGGGCGCCGGGCACGAGGGCCAGCCCCTTGGCGGCCAAGTTCAGCGATTCCACGAGCGTCAGCTTCTTCTTGGGCACCTTCTTCCGCCAGCCCACGGGCCGCTCGTCCTCCGGTACCTCCGGGCCCGGCGACGCGTCCGTGTTCGCCGTTGTGCGCGCGTCGAAAGTGGCCATGGCCACACGCGAGAGATGGGCTGCTCACTACAACATCGATTCAACGAGCTGGAGGTGGCGCCATTTGTGGGCCCCGAGCATCATGGTGCTCTGAAGTATGAAGTACGCCTGGGCCCTCGTCGCCACCGCCGCGGCGTTCTCCGCGCCGCCGCGCGCGCCTCGCGCCGCGCCGCCGCCCGCGCTCCGCGCGAAGAAGCAGGCCGACACGGCCTCCGACGCCGCCAGCGCCGCCAGCGCCGCCGCCGCCGTGCAGCGGGCCCTGGGCTCGCTGGCGTCGACCCTCGCGAACTCGTCGAGCGGGGCCTGGGAGACCTTCGTCGCGTCCGCCGTCGACGACGTCGACGTCGCCGCGTTGGCGTCGCTCAACTCCACCGCGGCCGTCGCCGAGTCGCTCGACGCGAGCCGCGTCGAGATCGAGCGCGCCGTCGAGGCGTCGCTGAGCGCGTGGCTCGCGGAGCGCGACGACGCCCTCGCGCGCGTCGCGTCCACCCTGCCGGACGTGAACGGCCCCGACGCCGTCGAGGCGGCCGTGTCCAAGACGCTCGCGGAGGCGTCGGATTTCGCTAAAATCGTCTCCGCGTCGCTCGTCGCCGAGGCGCGGTCCCTGCGGTCGAACTCGACGTCGACCGTCGAGGCCGCCCTCGCGCGCGCGGCGGCCGCCGCCGAGGACCCGCTCAAGGACGCGCTGAAGAAGGTCGCGGACGCGACGACGGCCGCCGCGGAGTTCCAGGACGGCGTCGCCGCGGCCGCCGCGGAGCTCTCGGGCGCGCTGCCGACCTACACGGCGTCCGACGGCCGGCCGCGGAAGAGCCCCGGCCGGGGGTCGACGCCGCCGGCGCTGCTCCAGGCCTGGCGCGCGTCCGCGGACAGGGCGCTCGAGGCGTTTCCGGCCGAGGCGCTCGTCGACGACTCGCTCGAGAGCGCGCGCGATTTCCTCGACGAGGTCAAGGGCAACGCGCCGTCGGCGAAGGAGCTGCGGGCCATGTACGACGCCGTCGTCGGCGCCGAGGCCCCGGCGCCGCCGCCGCGCGCCGCGGCCGCCGCGATCCCGCTGGCCGCCGCGCCGAAGAAGTCGTACGGCGCCGCGCGCGTCGTCGCGCTGTCCCTGCGCTTCGTGACGCCCCTCTCCTTCGCCATTCTCGCGGCGGCCGTGGCCGCGCCCGCGCTCGGCCTCTCCGTGCCCGTGCTCGAGGCCTGGCCGCTCGTCGCGCTGGCGGCGGCCGAGACCAGGGCAGCGCGGGCGGCCGCTTCCTCAACCTGCTGCGGAGCCGCGGCGACTGGGTCGACGACCTCGACCTCGAGGACGACGACGCCCTCTTCTCGCCGTCCAAGGCCGCGCCGCCGCCGAAGCTGGGCTATCGGGTGCTCTGGCGGCGGTGCTTGGACGCGTGCCGCGACGACGTCCGCGGCTTCGTCGAGGGCTGGTTCTACGACGCGCGCCTCGAGACGCTGACGCGGGCCGACGTCGAGGCCTGGATCGCGGGCAACGTCTACGGCAAGGAGATCAAGGGCGACATCGACGACCGGCGCGCGCGGCAGCTCGCGTGGATGGTGCAGCTCCTCGAGCAGCGGCTCGGCGCGGAGCTCGCCAGCCCGGCCTTCGCCTTCCCGCCGGGGCCGCGGTCCGTCGAGTTCATGTCCGCGCCGTCGCAGCCGCTCGAGCGGCGGCTCCACCCGCTCCTCCTCTACGCGGCGTTGGGCGCCGCGCGGCGCGCGTACGGCCTCCAGCTCAAGGCCGCGGGCTTCGCGAAGAAGCGCGCGGGGCGCCTGAGCTACTGGGTCCGCGACGGGGAGGCTCTCGGCGACGACGACGGGTTCAGACCAGCGCCCGTCGTCTTCGCGCACGGCATCGGCGTCGGCCTGCTGCCCTACAAGGACGCGATCGCGAAGCTCGCGGCGGGCGCGCGTTCCGCGGGCGCGGCGACGTACCTCCTCGAGCTCCCGGCGATCTCGACGACGCTCCAGGGCGAGGAGCTGCCGAGGCCCGTGGACCTCGCGGCGGACGTGTCGCTCGCGCTCCGGTCGAACGGCGACGCCGCGGCGGTCTTCGTGGGCCACTCCTTCGGGTCCGCGGCCATGTCCTACGTGTTGCGCCACGCGCCGGACGTCGTCGCGGCGTCGGTCTTCGTCGAGCCCGTCGTCTTCCTGCTGAACCGGCCGAACGTGAGCAACGGCTTCCTCTTCGACAAGTCGCCGGACCCGATTTTGGACGTGCTCCGGTCGGACCCGGACATCGCCTTCTCCATGCGGCGGCGCTTCTGGTGGCAGGAGGCCGTGCTCTGGGCGGACCAGATCCGCGTGCCCACGGACGTCTTCCTGTCGGACTTCGACAAGATCGTGCCCGGCGCCGCGGTCCGGGCCTACCTCGCGGACGAGGCCGACGGCCGCCTCGTGTCCGTGACGTCCCTGGGCGCCAAGACCCACGGCGAGTGGCAGTACGACGAGGCGTCCCAGGACGCCGTCGTCGCGGCCGCGCTCGCGCGCCGCGCCGCCGTCGACGACGCGCGGCGGCGCAACGCGCTCGGCGCCTACCTCGAGGCGCTGCTGCGGAGCCGGACCCGGGCGCCGACGGGGCGATGATGCGCGTTTTTTTTACACGGCGGGTGTCTAGTTCGCCTGGGCCGCCTCGAACGCGTGGTTCATGAGCGCGACGTCGACGGAGCTGTAGATCTCGTCCAAATTCCGCCGGAGCTTCGCGTCGGAGTTGGGCGTCGGGCAGCAGGACGTCGGCTTGCGGTTGCTCCGCGGCGACCGGCCCTGCGTCGGCGTGGCGTGCGGCGTCAGCGACAGCTCGAAGGCGCCGCGCTCCCGCGGCTGCTGCGGCGGCTGGTCCCACGGCGGCGGCGCGTACCACTGCGGCTGCGCCTGGGCGTAGTACTGGGGCGCCGCGTAGCCCTCGGGCACGGCGGCGTAGGGCCCGCCGTAGGCGCCGTACTGCTGCTGCTGGAGCTGCTTGTTGCGCCGCGACCCGCCGGAGCCGCGGTGCTGCCGCCTCTTCGGCCGCGGCGCGGGCGCGTCGCCGGGCGCCCCGGCGGGCGCGCCGGCCTGGGCGTTCTCGCCGCCGGCGGGGCGGGCCCCGCGATCGCCCCCGCGCCCGCGCCCGCCGCGGCCCCGCTTCGCCGGCCAGGGCCGCGCGTGCTTCTTGGGGTCGGCGCCGGCGCCCTTGGCGCCCGGAGGCGCGCCGCGGCCCGCGCCGCGCGGCCTGTTCGTGATGTCCATGACGCTGAAGGAGTTGACGAGCTCGGCCATGGCGTTGCGGGTGTCGAGGCGCGGGGCGCGGCGCTTCGCGTGGACACCGTTGGACAAGGAGGCCGTCAAGGATGACGAGAAGCCGCAAATGCAACAGTCGACTGCAAGGTGCTCCTCTCCTTGAACGCTAAAATTCTCGGCGCCTGGCAGCCCCCGCGCCGCGATGCGGCGCGAAACGCTCTGGATCGCAGCCCTGCTATCCACCAACATCCGCGAAACGAGCGCCGACGGCTGCTGCTTCTGGCCGCAGAGCGACGACCGCTGCGACGTGGGCTGCGAGTCCATCGCGGAGTCCAGCAACTACTGCGCCGGCGGCGTCGACGAGTGCAACGTCGACTGCGGCGCGGTCTGGTGCTACGACGGCCCGCAGCCGTCGCACGAGCCCACGCGCTCGCGGGCGCCGACGCCCGAGGGCGGCGCCTGGCACGAGGGCACGTACACGACGGGCTACTGGGACTGCTGCAAGCCGTCGTGCTCGTGGAGCGGCAAGGGCGACGTCGACGCGCCCGTGCGCTCCTGCGAGGCGGAGACGGGCGACGTCCTCTCGTCGCCGGACGTGGCCTCGGTCTGCGACGGGGGCACGGCCGCGTCCTGCGCGGACAACCAGCCCTGGACGTACAACGACGGCGTGTCGCTGGGCTTCGCGGCCGCGGCCGTCGGCGGCATCACGGGCCTCGACGGCGACACCAACTGCGGCCAGTGCTACGAGCTCGTCTGGACGGACGACACCCACAGCTGGGGCGGCGGCGCGCACGCGTCGCTCGTCGGCCGGTCGCACGTCATCCAGGTCACGAACATCGGCTACGACGTCACCGGCGACCACAGCTTCGACCTCCAGATCCCGGGCGCGGGCCAGGGCATCTTCGACACGGGCTGCGCGATCCAGTTCCCGGGCTACGACAGCGGCGACTTCGACTGCGACAACAACTACGGCGGCTGCGCCGACAACTCGGGCTGCGACCGCCTGCCCGACGACCTGCGGTCCGGCTGCGACTGGCGCTACGACGACTACCTCTACAACGAGGGCGGCACGTCGAACAACCCCTACGTGCGCTTCCGCCGCGTGCGCTGCCCCGCGGAGCTCGTGGCCATCACGGGGACCACGCCCAACGACGACGACGACTACCCGGCGCTAAACCTCGACGCCTACGCGAGCGACTACGACGGCGGCGGCGGCGCGTACGCGCCGACCTACGAGCCGACGACGAAAGCCGCGGGCGACCCGACGCCCGAGCCGACGCGCGAGCCGACGCGCCGGCCGACCTACGAGCCGTCGACGAACGCCACGGGCGACCCGACGCCCGAACCGACGCGCCAGCCGACGCGCCGGCCGACCTACGAGCCGTCGACGAACGCCGCGGGCGACCCGACGCCCGAGCCGACGCGCGAGCCGACGCGCCGGCCGACCTACGAGCCGACGGACGGCGCGCCGACGGCCTGCGGCGACGACGGCGCCTGGCACAAGAAGAACGGGCCGTCGAAGGACTGCGCGTGGGTGTCGCGCGACCTCGGGCGGTGCTCCGCGAAGGGCGACGAGTCCTACGCGTGGCAGAGCTGCCCCGCGACTTGCGGCAGGTGCGCCTACGACTGCGCCGACGGCGGCGACTCGTCGTCCTGGCACAAGAACGGCGACGAGACCAAGGACTGCGCGTGGGCGAGCGGCTACTACTACAACCGCGCGTCCGTCGTCGGCGCCGACGGCTCCTACGCCTGGGAGGGCTGCCCCGCGGCGACGCACGTCTGCTATCACGCCGGCTGCGGCGACGACCCGTCGTGGCACAAGCGCGGCGAGCCGGCCAAGGACTGCGCCTGGGCCGCGGCGGCGACGAGCCGCTGCATCGCCGTCGGCGACGACGGCGCCTACGCGTTCGAGGCCTGCGAGGGCGCGTGCTTCGCGTGCGCCGCCGCGCGCGGCGGCTCGTGCGGCGACGACGCCGCCTTCTTCAAGAAGGGCGCGCCGGCCAAGGACTGCGCCTGGGTCGCCCGCGACTTCCAGCGCTGCACGGTCAAGGGCGACGACGAGACCTGGGCCTTCCAGAGCTGCCCCGACGCGTGCGACGTCTGCTAGGCGCGAACGACGCGCGCCAATTCACAGCCCAATTCGCACACCCGCCTCGCAAAGAGCGCACACACACATATATGGATATCTACCGCCCCGGATGGGCGCGCGTAGGCGCGCGGCCCAATTCGCACGCCCGCCGCACACACATGGCTTTTTAGACGCGGATGCCGCCGCCCGGGATGGGCGTGTAGGCGGCCCCCGAGCCCGCGCCCGGCGCGAGGCTCTTCGGGACGACGTCGACGCACGTCGCGAGGATCGCCGCGCAGCCCCAGTAGATGGCGCCGATGCACAGGTAGAGCAGGAAGGCGGCGCCGAGGTCGCCGCCGACGACGGAGATGATGTAGGCGTAGTTGCAGGCCACGGCCGCGTAGCCCGCGACGCCCGCGACGCGGAACCCCCAGCGCGTGACGTCGAGGACCAAACCGTAGCCGTAGACGGACGCCGCCAGGGCCAGGGGGAAAGAGATGCAGCCGCCGTCGAGGTTCCCGCCCGTGACCGTGTTGACGAGGGCCCAGAGGAAGAAGACGGCCGCCGTGACGAAAGTGGTGACGCTCAAAGTGACTATGCCGTTCGGCAGGCGGTGGCTGCGGCTCAGGTCGGCGCCGACGCGCTGGCCCAGCAGGGCGCAGACGAGGAGCACGACGATGGCCTACGCGCGCGGACGGGTGGGACTATTTTGGAGCATAGACGTGGACGCCGGTTCCAAAACCAAAAGCCCGGGCTCCATCGTCGTCAAAGATCGACCACGTTTTTGGTTTCAGGCGATCTTTCCTTTGAATCCTGGGTGGTTTCAGAGGGGCACAATGGGATGATGACCTGAGCGGACCCAGCGCCATGGCGTTCGCGGGCTGCGCGGCGAAGGAGTTCTCCATCGTGCCGCGGGCGCGGACGGAGGTGGGCCTCGTCTCGACGAGCCGGCTCGCGGCGCTCGCCGCCGGGCCGGCGCCGGCCGGGTTCCTGCCGCGGCTCGCGCGCAAGGGCCACGCCTTCAGCGAGCGGGCGAACCGCCACGGGTTCTTCGGGGACGGGTCCATGTGGGCCGTCAGCGAGCGCGAGCGGAGCGGCGCGTCGAAGCAGCGCAAGCTCCGCGCGCGCGCGGACCAGCAGCTGGTGTCGTTCAAGCGCGAGTCGCGGCGCGCGCGCGCGCTCGAGCGCGAGCTCGCGAACAGGGAGCGCTGGATGACGGAGCTGCTCGCGATGAAGAACGCCGCCGTGCTCGTCCAGGTGCGCTACCGCATCTTCGCCGCGCGGCGCAAGGTCGACCTCCGGCGCCAGCTCTTCAACTCGAAGTTTCTCGTGCGGCTCATGAAGTACCGCATGCACAAGAAGCGGGTCCTGCGGGCCACGCAGCGCATCAAGATCGCCTGCAAGTTCTTCAACGCGAAGCGCGACGCGGCCCTCCGGCTCCTGCGGGAGGAGGCGGCCACGGACATCCAGGCCGCGCAGCGGGGCCGGCGCGCGCGCGTCTTCGTCGTGCTCGTCAAGGTGCGGCGCAAGACGACGGCCCAGGTCGTCCACAGCGTCATCCTCTTCGGCTTCGCCCGGGCCCAGCAGTGCCTCATGGGGCCCCACACGGCCGCGGGGCGGATCCCGGTGTGGATCGCGAGCGCTGGTTCGGGGGGTCCCCACCACACTTCAGAACTCTCTATCTCGGCCAATTCCAAGTCGATTTGGCTGATTTTTGGACGAATCGATTGCGCTCGTCGCGTTCTCGATGCACGGCGAAAGAGTCCGGTCCCAACCGTTCGATGACGCGCACATTGACGTCGGGTTGAAGATTTGGCATCCACGCAGGCGGATCCAGAAGACGTACCGGCGCCACCTCCGGTGGCGGCGCCAGGCGGACAAGCGCGCGAAGCGCTTGAAGCACGGCAAGGCGTCGGCCGTCGAGGTCATGAAGAAGCTCACGAAGGTCGTCGACGACTCGTCGAAGCGCGAGGTCGCGCAGCAGTTCGAGCTCCCGTCGCCGGACATGATGCAGGACTACATCAAGCGCGGCGCGTCCATGCGCATGAACGCGGACGGCATCTACCAGCTCGTGCGCGCGGCCAAGTTCATGGCGACGGAGAAGGAGAAGCAGGAGAAGGAGGACCTGAAGAAGCGGTCCGAGGCCCTCCAGGTCCACAAAGCGGACCTCAACGCGTCGATCATCGAGGAGGACGAGGAGGAGGACGACGACGACGGGGCCGCGAAGCCCCAGAAGCTGTCGCCGCGGGGCCGCCGCGCGTCCAAGGCGAAGCTCGACCTCGACGGCGGCGCGCCCAAGCGGACGAAGCGCAAGTCCGCCGCGTCCATCGCCGGCGACGCGCCCAAGGCCCGGTCGAAGCGGTCGTCGAAGACGGGCATCAGCCCGGGGGGCCTCGAGCGCAAGATCTCGCGGCGCGGGTCGCGGTCCGACGTGGCCTCGCCGCGCCGCGGCTCCGACGCGGCACCGGCCGCCGTGGCGCCCAAGGCGCCGCCGCAGCCCCGGAGCCGCCGCGCGTCGCGCGGCGACCGGCCCAGCGGCGAGCGCAGCCGCAAGGGGTCCGTGTCGCGCCGGTCGAGCCACGAGGACGAGGACGCCGCCAAGGCGAGCCCGCGCCGCGGGTCCGCCGCGGGCGCGACGCCGAAGCCGCCCGCGAAGCCCAAGGCGCCGGGCGGCCGCCGCGGCAGCGGCAACGGCGCGCGGCGCCTCTCCGCGGGCAAGCCGCCGGAGGACCCGCCCGCGGCGCCCGAGCTCCCCGCGCGGCCGCCGCCGGCCTTCCTCGGCCGCGGGAAGAGCTTCACCTAGGACCCTGGTGCGAGACCGGGACGGTAGCGCGGCGCGGTCGACGCCCCGAGAATCGTCCGAACCCGGATCCCGCGGAGCTTCGCGTGAATGACATTACGCGGGCGCGTCGACCGTCGCCTCGAGGTCCGCCTGGGTCACGGGCCGCGCCGGGAGCTGGGCGTCGCGGAGGGGCTTGAGGAGGTCCGGCGTCGCGCGGGCGCGCGCGTGCGCGGTGCGCCACGCCTCGAACTGCTGCTGGTGGACCCAGTCGCGGCAGCCGGCCCCGCGGACGTCGTCGCGGAACTTCTTCGAGGTGAGGAGCAGCTCGAGGAAGCCGAGGCAGTCCGGGTACTCGATGAAGCGCACGTACTCGGGCCGCTCAAAGTACCTGAGGTAGCGGAGGAACGCCATGAACCTGTCGTTCTCGAGGTAGTTGTGCTGCGCGAGGTACTCGAGGTAGAGCGGCGACGCGAGGCACTGCACGAACTCGAGCTCGGCGCGGAAGCGCCGGTCGAGGCGCGCCGCCGCCTCCGGGTCCGCGGCGGGCGCGTCGGGCGCGTCGGGCGCCGGGGCGGCGTCGGCGTCGCGCGGCGCCATGTCCACATCGCTGTCGTCGTCGTCGGACGACGAGAGGCCCGCGAAGGCCTTCATCGGTTCGGAAGCGGTGGCGGCGTCGCTGTGGGCGCGGCGGTGGGGTAGCGGCAGCCGGATGGCCTCGTTGATGCCTATGCGCAAGGGGTGCAAGGTGGGTGCACGTGAGCTGCACTATGGATGTTGAAGTGCCCCTTCGACGCCTCCGTGGGCCCCGTCTTGCGCGTTAATGGCGAGAAAACAGTCCGCCCGGGGTTGGTCGCTGGTTTCATACCCAGACAGGCCCAAACACAGACCTTTGAGTGCTCAGCTTCGACCATTACGCGCCGCAATAATACGCGACGCATGCGGCGCGCTCAGTCCTTCTTCGTCCCCAGGCGCGGCCCCCAGGCGAGGAGGCCCTTGGCCTCGACCTGGTCCGCGACGGCGGGCCACTCGACCGGCGGCGCGCCGGCGATCTTCGGGAGGCCCGCCTGCGCGGCCTCGACCTCTTCCGCGCATTGCACGACCTGTGTGGATTCCAAACCTTCAACCCGACTTCAATGTGAGCGTATTCGACGGTTTCGACGCAAGGCTTTCTGCCGTGCTTCGAGAACTCGACGAGAGCAATCGATTCGTCCAAAAATCAGCCGAATCGACTTCGATGTGACCGAGATAGAGAGTTCTGAAGTTTGGTGGGGACCCCCCAAACCAGTGCTTGGAATCCACACAGTGCACCACCGTCGGGTCGTCGCGCCACGCGTTGCTGCCGCGGGACGCGATGGCTTTCTCGCGCGCGCGGCGGTAGCACTCGCGCGCGTCGAGGAGTTTCACGACCTGCGGCCCCGCGACGCGGCCGCCGGGGAGCGCGAGCGCGCCGGGCAGGTAGTCGTCCGACCCCATGGCCTTGGTCTGCGCCCGGATGAGTTCGGACAGGAGGAGCCAGCGCTTCAGGAAGTCCATCTTGCCGAGGCAGTGCTCGTAGCAGTGCTCGAGCTTCGCTTCGAGCACTTCGACGCTCCGCGGCTCCTTGGGCTTCGTGAAATAGAAATAAGCCACCACCGCCGCGAGCATCAAGACGGAAATGATGAGGCATAGACCGAATAAGTGGACGAGAAAGACGAGCATCGTGAGAGTGGCCACCGCCTGGGCCGTCGAAACGGCTCAAGCCTGCTCCGACGGCGCGCCGCAAAGGCAATTCCTCGGCGAGCGACGATCTAGCGACGCCAGGAAGACAGGTCAGTGGCGCCCCGGCCGACCCCTCTAGCGCAGCGACGCTAAGCGTCGCATCGTCACCCGTGACGTCCGCCTCGCTCGCCCGACTCGCTCGCCCCGCCCTCGCTCTCTCGCCCGCATCGCCCTCGCCGCAACATGCGTTCCGCCGCCATCCTCCTCGCACTCGTCGCCGGCGCCGGGAGCGCCGCGTTGGCCGCCGGCGGCCACGTCGACTCGGACGCCGTCCTCGCAGAGGCCGAGAAAAGGTACAAAAAAATGGCGGAAACGATGGCCTCATACTCGCGGACGCGGGAAAAAGGCCTGAAAGCGCCAGCGCGTGAGGTCCTGGCCCTGTCCCGCTTCCTCGACCTCGGCGCGGGCGACGCCGCCGCGCGCAAAACGGCGCGGCGGTACATCGCCAAGACCGCGCAGGCTTTCGCGGCCGCGTGCGTCCCGCGCGGCCGCGTGTCGTACGCGGAGAATCGGACAATGCGCGGGTGGCCCGTCGTGATCGGGAAAGAGCCCGAGTTCGAGTCCTACCAGTTCGGCTACGTGGCGGGGGCCGTGGCCGCGGGCGCGAGACACGCGTACGCGTCCGGCGACGTCGAGAAAGCGTCGCTTCTGGTCGCGGCCGTCGTCGGCGCCTTCGAGGACGGGTTCCTGACGTCGGACCCGGAGAGGACCAAGGTCGACAAGGGCGTCGTCGTCTTCGTGCCGCGGCGCGCGTCCGCCGGCCGCCGGAGGCGCTACGCCGAGGTCCACGGCAGCGACGAGGGCGGGTGCCTCGCGGGGCCCCAGGCGCTGAACCACGGCCTCTCTGCCGCGACGGGGGCGATTCACCTCCTGCGGGCCCTCGCGGCGGCGCCGGACGCCGACGAGGCCCTCGTCGAGAGGCTCCGGGGCTACGTCCTCGGCGTCGCCCGGTTCTTCAACCAAAATCTGATCAGCCGGCGCGCTGGGTGCCATTTAAACGCTAAGTGACGCGATCGACGTCGAATCGTACGCGGAAAGTACCCATAGGCGCGTCCGTGGTGTGTTTGAGGCGGGCGTCGTCCAAGTTCGGCGGTGGAATCGGCTCCGGCCGCGCGGTCGTCGCGCGACGCGCGCGGCGCGCGTGCGCCCGAAACCTCACGGGAGGCGTAACTCCGGGAGAAGTAGACGAATCTTGACGGGGACTTTGGCGCCGGGGAACGTAACAGGACCGCCTGCGTGTACAATCGAAGCCTCGGCCCGTGGCGTCGTGTACAAAAATGTACAGAGATCCCCGGTTTGGGCATTGAAGGCAACTTTCCGGGCTCTCGGAGACGCTCTCAGACGCCGCGATACACCGTGAGGCTGTCGAGACGGGTTCGGACAGCCTCGATCTGGCGTCGCAACCCGCTCTGAAGCTCTGGCGAGGCCTTGCCGCGTCTCCGCTGCCGGGCACGCGGCCACGGCGAGGTTTTCTGCGTCGCCCCGTGCTGCGGAACCGGTCGCGCTGCGGGATTGTGTGCGGAGACGTCGGTTTTGCGTTGGAGAGTCGGGGTGCGACGAGCCAGATGCCTCCGAGTTGATCGGGCGGGTGGTCGAAGCTGTCGAAGGCGTTGCCGGTACGAAGCGGCGTGCCGACGAGGCCCTGGGTCCGAATTTCTTCGAGATCACCCGATAAAGTCCCGAAAACGCCTTGTCATGGGCTGTCGCGGAGCGAGCACCTCAAACCGATCGACGCCGCTGCGTCCGGCAGGCTGTATCATCACCACGGACCACATCTGCAGCGTCACTGTCCTCGCGCACAAGCTTAAGACGCCCGTAACGCACCGAACCCGTTCGCGGCTCGCTGCGGCCATGCGCGCTACCGCGGCCACCACCGCACGCCATGGGCATATCGGGACGTTCGAGTGGCGTGGCCCGTCTCGCGCTGTCCGTGTGCGACTCCTCGGCCGCTTAAAGCGCGTAAAACGAGCGGGAGTGTCGCGCTCAAAGTTAAATGTCCGGTCTTGTTCCTACTGATCTAATTTTGGTTGTCTTCGCGGGGTCCCTGCGCGAGCGGCGCACGACGGCGGCCGACCCGTACCCCAAGCCCGGCACGACCTATTACCTGTGGAAATACCGCGATTTGTCGGCCTGCGCGGCGTTGAACGCGACGAACAAGAACCGGTGGGAGGACATCTCCCACGCGGGGGTCGAGGCGAACTTCGTCTACGAGCTCCGGGCGCTGCTCCCGCGCGAGGCGGACGCCGCGGGCGTCACTCCGGGCGTCGTCCACGGCATGCTCGTGACGTTTCTTACGCGCTTCGTCCTCGACGCGAAGCGCGACCGAAAACAGCACGACGGCGGCCGCTTCGCGTGTTCCATGGACCGGAGCGACGCCCACTACTTCGAGAAGCACTGCTCTCCGAGTTCCACCCGAGCGACGCGCGATCTCCGCGCGGAGGGGGCGGTCGGCTGGCTACCGCTCGCGGTCGCGGCGCGCGCGGCGGCGACGAGGACCTCGGCTGCGACGCCGCGCGCGTCGTCGCGGAGATCCTCGAGGAGCTCGAAGCAGCCGCCCCTCGGGTGTCGACGACGACGTTGGTCGACGTTCTCCTGGCGCGCGCCTCCTTCCCCCACGCTTACGCGGACGCGCTTCGCTGCGACCATCGCGCTGGCCACCACGGCCCCGAGTAGGAGTCCGACGCCGCCGCGATCCTCCTCTGAGTCCGGCGCCCCCCCGACCGCGCGCGACGATCGACGCCTAAGACGAAGAGGCGATTCTTACTGATATGTGGGCCGCGGCGCGGGCCCGCGGCCGCGCCCGGCGGGCGGCCGCGCTAGGCGTCGTCGAGCGCGGCGACGCCCGGGAGGACCTTGCCCTCGAGGAGCTCGAGGGACGCGCCGCCGCCCGTGGAGATGTGGGACATCTTGTCCGCGAGGCCCGCCTTCTCGACGGCCGCGACGGAGTCGCCGCCGCCGATGATCGTGATCGCGGACTCGTTCGCCGCGAGCGCGTCCGCGACGCCGAACGTGCCCTTGGAGAAGGCGTCGAACTCGAAGACGCCCATGGGCCCGTTCCAGACGACCGTCGTCGACGCCGCCGCCGTCGCCGAGAAGGTCGCCTGCGTCGCCGGGCCCACGTCCAAACCGAGCCAGCCGTCGGGGATGCCGTCGACGGGCACGACCTTGTAATTCGCGTCCGCCGCGAACTTGTCCGCCACCACGACGTCCGTCGGCAGCAGGAAGTTGACGCCCTTGGCCTTCGCCTTGGCGATGAGGTCCTTGGCCATGGGCACCATGTCCTCCTCGATGAGCGACGCGCCGACGGAGTGGCCCATGGCCTTGTAGAACGTGAAGATCATGCCGCCGCCGACGAGCACGTTGTCGCACTTGTCGAGCATGGACTCGATGACCGGGATCTTCGTCGAGACCTTGGCGCCGCCGAGGATCGCGGTGAGCGGGCGCTTCGGGTCGTCGATCGCGCCCTTGATGTAGACCTGGGCAGGAAAAGGGTGCGAAATTCCCAACTTCAAAGGCTCCTCTCTCGGTCGTTTTCCGCTCGTTTCGGCTGATTTTTGGACGAGCGATCATCTCTCGGAACGGTCTCGAAGCGTGGGTGCTGTTTCCGAAACGCGCGCGCGCGGAACACTCACGTTGAAGCGACGTTGAATCACCCTTTTCCTGCCCTTGATGTAGACGAGCTCCTTCTCCATGAGGTAGCCGCCCGCCGCGGGCCCGTCGATGAACTTGACGACGCCCTCCGTGGACGCGTGGGCGCGGTGGGCCGTGCCGAAGGCGTCGTTGACGTAGGCCGTCGCGCCGCAGGAGCCCGCGAGCGCGGCCGCGAAGTCGTCGAAGTTCTTCGTCTCGCCCGTGTGGAACCGCACGTTCTCGAGGAGCACGACGCCGCCCGCGGGCATGGCGCCGCAGGCCTGGGCGACGTCGTCGCCGACGCAGTCGTCGACCTTGACGACGTCCGTGTCCAGAAGCTCCGAGAAGCGGCCGACGATCGGCGCGACGGAGAACTTCGCGTCCGGCTCGCCCTTGGGCCTCCCGATGTGCGTCGCGACGACGACCTGGGCGCCCTGCTCCTTCAGGAAGTTCATCGTCGGCACGACGGCGCGGAGCCGCGTGTCGTCCGTGATCGTCACGCCGTCGTCCTTGGACAGCGGCACGTTCAGGTCCAGGCGGATGAGCACGCGGGAGCTGCCGAGGTCGACCTTGGACGCCAGGCCCTCGAGGCCGAGCTTGCCGCGGCGCACGCTGCTCGACGTGAAGGACCGCCGCGCGGCATTGGCGAGGGACATGGCTGCACGGGAGGTCGGGACGACGGACGAGGCTGCCGCTGAAAACGTGTGTGGCCACGGCAGACGAGGACGCTACGAGGACATGCGCCGAATCAATCGGCGAGCGGCGCCGGGGCGAGCCGGGCGCCCGCCTTCCCCCTTGGCGCCTAACTAACCCCTTCCGTGCGCGGTTCGCAACGACGTCGGCCGACGTGAGGCTGTACGAGAGGATGGCGCACGCTGCTTGCCCGACGATCGGCGCCAGGATGATGATGTTGACTCATCGGATCGCGATCGCGGCGAATTCCAGGACCGGGATCGGTATCTGGAGCTCGCCCCCTACATCTTCGGGCTCGAGGGGCAGAGCCCACCAGAGTCCTTCCATGAAGCCGCCGAGGCCGGCTCATGAGGCCAGGAACGCGGGCGGCCTTGGAAATGTCTTGGATGCCATTTTCCAGCGTGAGGTGACGATGAGCTCTCCCTGGACGTCGACCGCGGCGTCGCGCGTCGCGACCTGCGACAACCAGTAGACGCAGCTGCAATCCGCTACACCACACACAACCATGCCCACGCCGGCGACGGCCGTCGCGCGCGACGTCTGGACCTTCGCGTTCAACAACGTCATCGGCTGCCTCGCGGGCCTGCTCTGGTGCTACATCGTCGTCATCCAGTTCGACCCGCGCCAGGAGTGCCCCGCGCCGGGGTGCTGGCGCGTCGTCTTCGCGCTCCTTGCGTGGGCCGTCGCGGGCGTCGTCGGCATGCCCTGGGTCAGCGTCCAGGTCATGCGGTCCCTGCGCGCGTCGCCCGAGGCCGGGGCGACGACCTACGGCGAAACGCGGGCCCTGCCCGCCTTCCTGAAACGGCTCGAGCTCGAGAGGGAGACGAGGACGTGGGCGCGCGAGCTCCTCGCGCGGTCCACGGGCACGGCCTGGTCCGTGGGGCTCTACGCGGCGCTGTCGAGCTGCGTGCGGCAATTGGAATACGACGCGCTGTTACGACGCGCGGGCGGCGGGTCCTGCGACGGCGCGAGTCTGGGCTGCGCGCTCGAGGGCGTGTTGTACCTGGCGGCGTGCGTGGGCTCCATCGCGTTGGCGACGTCGCTGGCGGCGCTGCTGGCCACGGGCCTCGCGTCGCGGGCCCTGGGCCGCGGGAACCTGGCGCCCCTGCTCGTCGAGATGCTGCTCATGCTGCGGTCGAACGTCTACTACTCCGTCGCGTACACGTGGTGCACGACGCTGGGCCTGCTCTGGTTCGCGCCCTACGAGCTCGGGCCCGCGGCGGACAACGCGCTGAGCCCCGCGGGCTCCTGGAGCGACGGCGGCGTGCGGGCGGCCTTCGCGGCCGCGCGGGCGCTGACGCTCGCGGGCCTCTTCGGCCGCCTCGCGCTCGTGTCGCTCGGCGACGTGCCGACGGACGACGACGTCGAGGCGACGCGCGGCGCGCCCTGGGGCGCCTGCGCGCGGCTGCTTGTCTTCCGCGCGTCGGCCGTGACCGTGGCCATCGTCTGCAACGACGTCGCGCAGGGGCTCATCGGCGCGGGCGCGGGCGCGTTCAGCTTGCGCGAGCTCTCCGCGGGTTTGGCCTACGCGGCGCTGCTCCTGGCGCTGGGCCTGGGCTTCCTGCTGTCGTCGCGCCACGCGACGACGCTGCGGCGGCGCGCGTCGTCCGCGGCGGCGGCGGCGGCGGAGGACGAGGCCGCGGCGCCGAAGCGGAGCAAGTCCGACGAGCGGTTGCCGCTCGCCGCGGCCGCGGCGGACGCGGCGCGGCGGTCCGAGTCCAAGGAGTGGCGCTTCGCGCGGCTCCTCTACAACTGGCTCGTCATCTTCGCGACCTGGGCGCCCTGGAAGCGCTTCATCCTCCACCTCTACGCGGCGCTCGCGGCTCGAACGGGGCCCGTGCTCCTCCTGCCCTGCCAGATCGCCCTCGCGCTCGGGCTCACGCTCGCGCTCGCCCTCTTCTCGGCGCTCCTGCACAAGGGGCTGACGCGGTGCTGCGGCGCGTTCGACGACGGCGGCGGCGCCTACGACGAGCTCCCCGACGAGCCCGAGGGGAACCCCTTCGTCTAGCGTAGTACGCTCGGCGCGCTTACATCAGCGGCCCCCCTTTTTGAACTTGTTGGCCGTCTTGCGCCCGAAGAGGCCCTTGGCCGCCGTGAGGACGTTCGTCGACCGCTTGGCGAAGGCGATGTTCACGAGCGACGACCGGTTGCCGTTGTCGTCCGACGACGGCCGGCGCGGCTCCGGGCCGTCGCCGGCCCGCGGCGGCGGGCCGTCGGCGTCGGGCGGCGGCGCCGCGGCGCCGGCCGCGTCCTTGGCCGCGGCGTCGCCCGCGCCCGACTTGCGCGGGCCCCGGAAGCCCGTGGCGCGCTCGGAGAGCTTCTTCGAGTCGGACCGGTCCTCGCGGGCCGGCGGCGCCTTGGGCGCCGCGGCCTCGAGGTCCCGGGCCTCGGCGGCGGCGCGGCGCTTGAGCAGCTCGGCCCTGAAGGCCTCGAGGTCCGCGGCGAGCGCGGCGGCCGAATCCGCGCCCTCCGCGGACGCGCGCGCGTCGTCGGCGGCCTCGCGCCGCGCCTTCGTCGACTGGAGCGCCTCGACCTTGGCCTCGAGCTCCGGCTTCGCCCGGAGCTTCTTCGCGAGGATGGCCTCCGCGAGGTCCGCGGGCGACGCGTCGCCGGGCAGCGCGCAGTCGAGGACGTCCGCGGGCGCGAGCCTCCCGTGGAGGCCGTCGACGCGGGCCTTCTGCTCCTTGACCTGCTTCTTCGCCGCCTTGCGGGCGTCGATGTGGGCCCGCGTGAGCTCCTGCGCCGCCTCACTGGGCCCGGCGTCCGGTGGCGGCGCCGCGGGCGCGGCCTCGGCCTCGCGGAGCCGACTCCGGCAGGCCTCGGTCTCCGCGCCGTGGGCCAGGATCTCCTCCTCGAGGCGCGCGACCTCGGACTCGTGGCCGTCACGCGTCGCCTTGGCCGCCTCCATGCGGTCCGTCCAGAACTTGGCGTACGCGAGGACGCGCTCCGTCTTCCGAGCCGCGGCCGCGAGCGCGCGCCGCCCGGCGGCGGCGACGTCGCGGGTCCGCGGGCTCAGCGACTCGACGGACCCCTCGGCCCAGGCGTCGCCGGCCTCGGCCGGGGCCGCGTCGGGCGCCGCGGGCGCGGGCGCGGCCTCGTCCGGGAGCGCCGCGTCCGCCGCGTCGATGTCGCCTGCGCGGACGTCAAATCTTCCACCCGACTTCAATATGCGCGTATGCGACAGTTTCGACGCGAGCTCTTCGGCCGTGCGTCGATCACTCGACGAGAGCCATCGATTCGTCCAAACATCAGCCGAATCGATGTCGATGTGACCGAGAGGTTTGAAGTTTCGCCGGACGCGTCCGTTCCGCCGGTCGATTTCCACGCGGGATGTCGCGGATCATGTTTAGGCCGGCCTCCCAGGCGTCGCAGAGCTTCGTGAGCATCTCCGACTGCTTCGTGAGCGTCTTGAGCTGCGTGGACTGCTGCACGCACGCGCGGTGGCACCGGTCGAAGTCCGAGGCCGACTCGCCGGCCTCGGACGTCGCGGCGCCGAGCCGCTCCTTGAGGGACGCCATGGTCTCGGCGAGCTGCGCCTCGACGCGCGCCCGCTCGTCGGCGACGCCCACGAGGCCCTCCTTGAGCTTCTCCGTCTCCTTCTCCATCTCCCGCGCGGACTTTGAGATCGACGAGATGCGCGCGGACGACTCGCGCGCGTCCGCGTCGACGCGCGCCTCCTCGGCCTCCTGCTCCTCGGCGCGCCGCTTGCACTGCTCGACGGCCGCGACGCACTCCCGCTTCCGGTGCTCCAGCCGCGACCGCAGGTCGACGATGTGCTGCTTGCGCCGCTCCTGCTGGGCGCGCAGCTCCTGGAGGGCCCGCACCTCCGTGACGCGCCGCTGGAGGATGAGCTTCAGGCGCATGTTCTCGTCGAGGGGCGCGGGGAAGCACACGGACATGGCGGTGCGCGGGGGCGGCCGGAGCCGCGGGGGACGTCGCTCCCCGGAGCCCCCAGCCTCCGCGTTGATCTTGGGGGCAGGCGACAACCGTGGTGCAACATCGCGCGCGTCCCCTTCACCATCTACCTCGACGCATACGAAGATAGAGCATGGCTTCGAAAGGGCGCACGTGCTAGGAAAGAGCGGCGAGCCACGCCGAACCCAAGCGATGGACCAGCTCGTGGATGCCAAACTCTTTCGGGACGAGGTCCTGCGCTACGTCGACGGCCTGGACCTCGCTGAAAAGGTCGTCTTAGTCAATAAGACCTTCGCCGCCGCCGCCCGGGAGGTCGCGGACGCGACGCTCGCGGCCAGGTACACCTGGTTCTGGCCGTCGCTGGCGCGGCGCGCGCGCCCGGGGGACCTCGGCGCGCCCGGCGCCCTCGCGGCCTTCGAGTACGCGCCCGCGCTCGTCCTCGTCGGCGGGACCCGAGACGAATCGGAGCCGACGGACTCGACCACAGTCCTCCGGCCGCCCGGCGCCTGGGCCCCGCCCCGGGAGGCGGACATCTGCCACGAGCGCCGGCCATGTGTCCAGACGCTGGCCGAGAGCCTCGTGCCGCGCAACGCGGCCGCGTGCGCCGTCGCCGCGCGCGGCGATCTGCTCTTGTGCGGCGGCTGGGACGGCCTCGAGCCGCTGCGGTCCTGCGAGCGCTTCGACGGCGCGGCCTGGTCGTCCCTGCCGGACTTGGACGCGCCGCGCTGCTTCGCGGCGGCCGTCGTGCTGCCCTGGGGCGGCGACGAGCGGCTGCTGGTGTTGGGCGGCGGCGACACCTTGTGGGTCGGCGGCGCGGCGACGACGGGCGGCGAGCTGCTGCGTCTGTCCGCCGCGGCGCCGGCCTGGGCGCCGGGCCCGAAGCTGCGCGAGCCGCGCTGCGGCCACGGCGTCGCCGCGCTCGCCGCGGGCTGGGTCGTCGCCGCGGGCGGCTACGGCGGCGGCGACGCGTATCTCTACACCGCGGAGCGCCTCGGGCCCGAGGGCGACTTCCATCCCCTGCCGCCCATGCGCGCGCCGCGCACGGGCGCGGGCCTCGGCGGCGGGCCCGACGGCTGCGTCTACGTCGCGGGCGGCTCGCCCGACGGCTCGGACGCGCTCAACTCCGCGGAGCGCTTGGACCTCCGCCAACGGGCCTGGGAGCGGCTCCCGGACATGTCCGACCGGAGGGGCTACGTCGCCGCGGCCTTCGACGCGCGCGGCGACTTCTACGTCCACGGCGGCTACAACGAGTGGGGCGCGGTCCCGCGCGCGAATCGACCGCCGGTCCGGGACGTTCCGACCACACTTTGAAATGCTCGAGCTCGGTCACATCGAAGTCGATTCGGCTGATTTTTGGACGAATCGATGGCTCTCGTCGAGTTCTCGACGCACGGCCGAAGAGCTTGTGTCGAAACATTCGATTACGCGCACGTTGAAGTCGGGTTGGAGATGGGATTTGCGCGCAGGCACGGTCACCGCGACGACGGAGGTCTTCGACGTCCGCAAGCACGCGTGGCGCCGCGCCTTCGGCGACGACGCGGAGCTCACGCGCGCGCAGCACGCGCTTTTGGCGACGGTGCTGCGCCGGTCCTCCTAACCCCCCTTATTTTGTATGCCAGCCGAGCAGCGCGTAGAGCCGCGCCGTCCACCGGCCGGGCACGAGGCGCTCGTAGTACCAGCGCACCTCGGCGCCGCCCTCGGGGAAGACGGGCGCCGCCCGCCCGCGGTCGTAGACCATCGTCGCGCCGCCGCAGGTCGCGAGCCACGCGCGGACGTCGCGGCGGCTCCGCGGCCACCGCTTCGCGTTCGACCCGAGCGCGCAGTTCCAGCGGCGCCGGTCCGCGCAGGCCGTGCAGAAGCAGGCGCTGTCCGGGACCCGGCCCGGCGGCGACACGGCGTCGCGGTCCACGGACCGCGCGGCCTCGCGCGCGAGCGCGCGCGTCCGCGCGACGAGCCGCCTCACGAGCGACGCGTTCCGGATCGGCGACGACTCCGACGCGTCGCCGCCGAGGCTCACGTCGAAGACGTCGTGGACCTGCGTCTTCTTCTGCGTCCGCAGGAACACCTTGAAGCGGCCCAGCCGCGCGGCGAAGCCCGAGTTGATCAGGAGGCCGGCCCGGACCGCGTCCTCGCGCCGCCGGAGCGGGCCGTCGTCGAAGAGGGGCGCCAGGTCCACGCCGTCCGAGGGCCGCCGCGTCGCCTTGACGCCCGCGGCTTTTAAGAACGTCGGGAAGAGGTCCATGAGGGACGCGAGGGCCACCGTGGACCCCGGCGCGACGACGCCCGGCCGGTGCAGCAGCAACGGCACGCGGTGGCCGCCCTCGTAGGGCCCCCACTTGCCGCCGCGCGTGAAGGGCCCGACGTCGCCGCCCAAGCCCGCGAGGGCGTCGTCGATGCGCGGGCCGTTGTCCGACGTGTACGCGAAGAGCACGTCGCGGCCCTTGGTTCCGTCGAGGACCTGGGCGGGAAAAGCGTGCGACATTCCCAGCTTTGGAGGCTCCTCTCTCGGTCGTGTTCCACTCGTTTCGGCTCATCTTTCGACGAGCGATCATCTCTCGGAGCGCTCTCGACGCGTGGATGCAATTTTCCGGCGCGCGCGCGCGCGGAACACTCACGTTGAAGCGAACTTGAAGCACGCTTTTCCCGCGCCGTCCAGAACCGCGGCGACGAGCGCGTCGACCTCCGCGAAGACGTCGCCGTAGACGCCGAGCGCCGACGTCCCCTGGAAGGCGAGGCCCGGCGCGTGCGGGTTGTGGGGCTGGTGCGGCGCGACGGCGAGGAACTTTGGCCGCTTTTTCTCCGACGAGAGGAACCTTCGGACGAACGCGGCGTATTTCGGCGTGAGCAGGTCGAAGCGCGACGGCTGCTCGACGATGCAGCGGCTGCAGTCCGCGTGGCCGCCGCACTTGGCCGTCGCGTTGTGGAGCGACAGCGGCACGCGCCAGGCCTCGCCGCCCGTCTTGGCCGTCAGCAGTTCTTTCGGCGACGCGGCGTCGCGGCTCGCGGCGCACACGAAGGCGTCGCAGGCCGGCGGCGCCCCGCCCGGCCGTTTCCCTCGCGGCGGGTTGTTGGACTTCCGCCGCGCCCGCAGGGTCCGCCGCGCGTCGGCGGGCGCGTCGTCGTCGCGCCCGTTCTCGCGCCACCGCCGCCGCGGCCCGAGGTGCTTGTCCCTGCGGCCGCGGAACTGGTCGTAGGCCCGCCCCTCGGACTCGAGGAAGTCGCGCTTCGCCGCGTGGGCCGCCGCGTAGGCGTCGCGGTGCTCCCGGGCGGCGCCGTAGCGCCGCGCGGCCTCGCCCTCGCGAACCGGCCGCGCGGGCTCGTCCGGCGGCTCGCCGCGCCGCATCCGCGCGAGCTCCTTCGCCGCCGCGGCCCGCAGCTGCTTGTCGCAGCTCGGCTCCACGGGCTCGCCGGCGAGGCAGTGGCGCCGGGCGGCGCTCGCCGCGCTCGGCGGCGCCGCCGCGGGCCGCCAGGACTCGTCGTAGCGGCACGCCCACCCGGCGGGGACGCAGTGCTGGTCCGTGCTCCCGGGCACGCCGAAGAAGCGGTCGAAGCCCTGGAACGTCGGGTGGTAGGGCGCGACGGCGCCGAGGTGCCACTTGCCCACGTAGGCCGTCGCGTAGCCCGCGCCGCGGAGCGCCTCGGCGACGGTGACCTCCGACGGCGCGAGGCCGCCGCAGCCGCTGGGCCGCAGCACGCCCTGGACCTTCGTGCGCCGCGGCTCCCGGCCCGTCAGGAGCGCCGCGCGCGACGGCGTGCACGTCGACGCGGCGCTGTGCGCGTCCGTGAACAGCAGGCCCTCCGCGACGGCCCGGGCCAGGCGCGGCATCTCCGCCGCGCTGAGGCGCGACCCGGGCATGCCGGGCATGTCCGCGAAGCCGCCGTCGTCGACGAGCACGAGCGCGATGTCCGGCGCGGCCGCCGCCGCGCCGGCGAACACGAGCCACCACGGCGCCATCGCGGGGCTGCCCATACTTCGCATCTGAGAGTGTTGAAGGCGGCACGGAGACGTCAACGAATATCAATCGCTCTGAGAGTTTTGCAGAGCCTTCACGCACTCAGTAGCAGCCCCGGTTGCCGCCCTCCTTCTCGGTCGGGGCCCGCTGACCCGCGGACCGTCGCCCCCCGTTCGGCCCCGTCCTCGCTTCCTCCCCCCGCATGGGCTGCCTCAAGGCCCGCGCGGCGGCGCTCGCGGCCCCGGCGGCGCGGGCCTACGCCCGGCTCGCCGCGCGCTACGCCGTGGCCGACGAGGTCGTCGAGGCGTGGACGCGGCGCCTCCTCGTCGCGAACACGGCCCTCGGGTGCGTGTCCGCCGCCGTGCGGCTGCTGCTCGGCGGCGCGGGCTGCGTGACCTACAACGTCGTCCTCGCGATCGCGCTCACGGCGTGCGCGGTGGACCTGGGCCTCGCGGCCGTCTACCTGGGCTTCCGGAGGCGCTGGTGCTGCGTGAGCCTCCACGAGGACGGCGTCATCGCCTTCATCTTCACGATCATCCCGGGCATGTCGCTCGCGGTCGGCGCGTGGTGCTGCGGCGAGCACCGGACGTTGACGGCGACGCTGCTGAGCGCCAAGGTGTTAGCCCAGGCCTGCTACCTCGGCGCCTTCGCGCGGGTCCAGGTGCTGCGCCGGCGGCGGGACCTGGCGCTCGCCCAGCAGGAGCGCTGGGACGAGGTCCGGCGCATCGTGCTCGCGACGAAGACGCGGAGCCCAGGGCAGCAAAAGAGTGATTCAACGTCGCTTCAACATGAGTGTTCCGCGCGCGCGCGTTCTGGAAAAAGCATCCATGCTTCGAGACCGTTCCGAGAGATGATCGCTCGTCCAAAAATCAGCCGAAACGAGTGGAAAACGGCCGAGATAGGAGCCTTTGAAGTTGGGAATTTCGCACCCTTTTCCTGCCCAGGCTGATCACGGACGGCGACGTCGAGGCCGGCGAGCGGTGCTGCGTCTGCCAGGACGAGTTCGAGAAGTGCGACGACTGCGTCGCCTTACCCTGCGCCCACGTGCTCCACGGCGCCTGCGCGTCCCAGTGGTGGATCACGAACCTGTCGTGCCCGCTCTGCAAGGGGCCCGTCTACCACCCGGACGACGAGCCCCCCGCGTCCAAGGCGCCCGCGTCGCCGGCGGCCGTCGCGCCGGACGACAACCCGCCGGCGGCGCCGGACGTGCGCCGCTGGGCCGCGCGGCTCCTCCTGCCGAAGATCCGCACGTCGCCGACGTCCTGCTCGCCGCGCGCGTCGCGCGACGACGTTCCCGGCGCGCCGTCGCCCGCCGTGCGCAAATCAAATCTTCAAACCGACTTCAATGTGCGCGTATTCGAATGTTTTGACACGAGCACTTCCGCCGTGCTTCGAGAACTCGCTGAGAGCAATCGATTCGTCCAAAAATCAGCCGAATCGACTTCGATTTGACCGAGCTAGAGAATTCTGAAGTTTGGCCCCGACGTCCCAGCTCACTGGTTGATTTGCGCACAGGTCGCCCGGCGCGCCGTCGCCGGAGCCGCCCAAGGAGGAGGCGCCCGGCCGGGCGCCGCACCGGCGCGCCGCGACGCCCGGCCGGGCGCCGCACCGGCGCGTCGCGCCCATCGACGCCGCGCGGTCGCCGCACCGGCTCCCGTCGCTCGGCTTCCCCCGGCGCGCCGAGGACCCGGCGACGCCCGGGTCGCCCCTCGACGACCTCCGCGCGCTCGGCGAGCTCGCGCCGGCGCCGGCCCTCGTCCGCCCGGCCTGCGACGGCGCCGACCCCGGCGGCGAGGCCGACTCCTGCGGCGAGACGCTCAGCCTCTCGCGCGCGTCGACGCCGCGGTCGCGGTGACCCTCGGCTCCGGACGTTCCACGACGCGAAGTACCCGACGCCCCCACCCCCCCCCTGTGCTCTTGTGTTGTGCATCGTAACGTACGACGGTCGTCCGTCCCCGCGATCGGCCGCGCGGGCCGAGAAGACACCGCGACGGCGCGTTAGAAGACGGGGGAGGAGGAGCGCGGCGCTCGCGAGCGGGGGGGCGGGGGGGCGCGAGAGGGGGGCGGCCGGACGAGCCGCCCGGTTTCTTTTGAGCCGCGCAGGTCAGGGGCAGACCTGCTGCTTGATGATGCCGAGGCTCTCGATGAAGTCGTCGGTGTCGAGGGTGAACTCGTAGGCGCGGATGGCGGCGGCGACCTGCTGGTTCCCCAAGAGCACGTACTCCTTGAGCCACTTCTTGTGCTTGGGCAGGCCCGGGTGCGTCGCGAGCGCGCCGATCGTGTCGTGGGGCTGCGCGTGGTCCAGGTTCTGGAGGAAGACGAGGAGGTGCGCGCGCGTGTTCGCGTCGACGGACTCCGCCGCCGCGGGCCCGCCGCCGCCGCGGGCCCCGCCGCCGCCGCCGCCGCCGCCGCGGGGCGCCTCGCCGCGCGCGGCGGCCTCGGCGTCGGCCTTGGCCCGCGCCTGCGCGGCGATCGTTTTCGCGTCGCCGCGGCACTCCGCGATGAGGAGCTTGATCTCGAGGTCGACCTCCTCGGCGCCCTGGGCGATCTGCGACATGGCGCTGTGTCGCAGCGTCACGGACTCGCGCATCTTGCGCACGTTGCCGCCCATCTCCTCGATGCGCAGCGCGGACGCGTCGTGGTGCCCTTTCAGGGTCGCGATCTGGTTTTTCAGCTTGGCGACGACGAGCTCGCCGGCGGTCTCCGTCATCTTGATGCAGACCATGTGCCACTTGCGGAAGCCGTAGTTGAGCTCGCTGTTCATGAGGCGGCTCAGGATCATGCCCATCGTCTTCCGCGCGTACTTGAACAAATTGTTCTGCTTCTTCCACTTCATGATGCCCCAGCGCGTGAGGAGCGTGCAGGCCTTCGTCAAAATCTTGATCATCAGCGCCTTCTGCTTCGGCGACGCGTTGGCGATCATCAGCTTCGTGATCTCGCCGACGATCTTCTCCAAATGCTTCTCCGCGCGGTCGTACGCGACCTTGGCCTTGCCGACCTCGTAGTGGAGCGTCTTGATCGTCTCGTCCAAAGTCATCTTCGACTTGAGGAAGGTCTCGTAGTACCACTTCTTCCAGCCGCCGAGGAGGTGGGAGTTGGCGAGGCGCGTGAGCATGCGGAGCGTGAGCGTGTACTTGCGGCGGAACTCCTCCATCGCGTCCTTCCAGACCGTGAAGGACTCGCGGCTCTTCTGGCCGCACATGCGCCCGAAGATCTTGAGGAGCAGCGCCCGCTGCTCCTTGGACGCGTTCTTGAAGTTGTAGTCGGCGATCTGCTGGCGCCGGAGGTCGACGTCGCGCTTCGCCTCGTCGATGCGGCCCACGAGGTCCTTGAGCTCGTGCTTGAGGGCCTTGGCCTCGTCCTGGAGCTGCATCTTCGAGAACTGGGCCGTGTTGCCGTGCCAGGCCTGCCAGGCGACGACGAGCTGCATGCGGCACATGCGCGTGATGATCTTGATGAGCAGCTTCCGCCCGCTGTCGGCGGACCTGGGCAGGAAAAGGGTGCGAAATTCCCAACTTCAAAGGCTCCTGTCTCGGTCGTTTTCCGCTCGTTTCGGCTGATTTTTGGACGAGCGATCATCTCTCGGAGAGCTCTCGAAGCGTGGGTGCTGTTTTTGAAACGCGCGCGCGCGGAACACTCATACTGAAGCGACGTTGAATCACCCTTTTCCTGCCCTGCGGCGGACATGGACGCGAGCTCCATGACGAGCGACTCGCGCTCGCGCCGCGCCTCCTCGTGGGCGATCATGAGGCGCTCGATCATGGACTCCGTGGCGTCGCGCTGCTCCTGCATGCGCAGCCGCACGGCCTCCATCTCCATGGCCGCGGACTCGCTGAGCTTGCCCGTCTTGCCGAGCGGCGGCAGCGTCAAGCCGCCGTCGCCGCCGCCGCCGCCGTACTTCTTCGGGCCCGGGCTGCTCCCGGCGAAGCCCGGCGACCCGTAGCTGCTCGACATCGTCGACCCGCCGGGCTTGCCGCCGTACCACTGCGCCTCGCGCGCCTCGAGGTCGTGCTTGGACGCGTAGCTCGCGCCGCCGCTCATCGGGTGGCACGCGCCGCTCCGCCCGGCGCGCGTCGGCTCGTGCGCCCCGGCGCCGCTATATCCGCGGGACCGCCGCGGGCGGGTCTACGTCGCCTGGGCCGCCAGGCACTGCGCACCGCGACGACGAGCCGCGCTGAGGCTCTCCGAGGGGGATGGCGTTCCAGCTAGATATGGTCCGGGATATTACCTAGCAAAGATTCCTAAGTTGACGCAATGTTGCCCCTCGCACTGTGGCAAACCGAGAGGCATCCTGTGGCCGCGTCATCGCAGCTCTCGTCGGCCATCGACGTCTTCGGACCGCTCTGCGACAGGCGGAGGCGTTCGCGATCGCCCATGGCCGCGCTGGTCCGCGCGTGCGCGCTGGCGCTCTGCGTGCGACGCGCGAGCGCGCTGGGTCCCGCCGTCGGCGTGGGCGGCGTCGCGCTCGGCGGCTTCTTGGGCTGGGCCTTCCAGGGCGTGGGCCCGAGCCCCGAGGCGCGGGCCGCCATGGACGCGAACCCGCCGGCGGCCGTGCCGGCGCTCGACGGCCTGCTCTTCGGGTGCGGCGCGCCCGAGGTCGCGCTCTACTGCGGCGCCAAGGTCGCGCCGGCGTCCTACGCGCCGCTGGCGTGCGCCGTGAGCGACGAGCTCGGCGGCGCCGGCGTCCTCGTGCTCCAGTCGCCCTTCAACGTCTACGCGTTCAAGCCCGCCCGGGTCGAGGCCGTGCTCGCGGCGTACCCGTCCGCGACCGCGCGAGGCTAGTCTGTGTGCTCGAGTCGCTTATCCAGGAGGGTTCGTGGGGTACCTCGTATGTGTGCTAGACTAACATATCCCGCCGGCGTGGGGTGGTTGCCGCAGCGTTGCGTACGGTGCGTAGGTGTGCCGCTGGGGGGTGGCTCGACGTTCAATTCGGCTTCGATAGGTAGCCTTGTACTTCAATGAGGATTCGGACCTCGACACCGCCGCTTGCCCTTCAGGACGTCGGCAGGTACGTCGGCGCGGCGGTGGGCTGGGGCCACCCAAGATCCTCGCAGCCGGTCGGTCTCGTGTCGGCGGTTGTATCGTCATCGTCGTCGGCGGCGGTTCCATCCCAGGACGGCCCCCAGTACGAATCATATTGCGCACCGGGATTTTGAAGGCACTTGTCGTAGCCGTCGCCGGCGTCGAGGTCCGAGAATTGGTCGCGGAGGTAGATGGTATCGTTTCCGGCGCCGCCGTTGATTCCGACGTTCGCACACAGCGCTTCAGAGGGGAGTCCCCCATAAGGGGAGAAATATTCTCCCCAATCGTCTGAGAGGCAATCTTCTTTGCTCCCCTTGATCGTGATTATATCGTTTCCTGCGTCGCCGTTTACATCGTAGTTGCCGGTGCCGTCAATCGTTATGTCGTCGGCACCTTCGTCTCCGTGGATTATTTTGTTGAAATTCCCCCTGATCAACAGGGTGTCGTCGCCGGCGCCACCTTCTATCTCCTCATTCATCAGCCCGACGACAGTGATGGAGTCGTCGCCCTCGTCCCCACGGACATGGTCGGCCTTGTTGCCCGAGACCACGATGACGTCGTTGCCGTCCCCACCAGACACCTTCGCGTAGTCCCCGTGGACGTCGATGGAGTCGTCCCCGTCGCCGCCGTAGGCGCTGGCCCCGAAGCCGACGATGTCCAAGACGTCGGCGCCCTCGTCGCCGTACGCTTTCCCGTAATCCCCGCGGATGGTGATGCGATCGTCTCCGCCGCCGCCCATCGCTGTCCCCAGATCGTCGGCGCCGTCGCGCTCTCCCGCTAAAAAAACGCCCCTCCCCGCGCCGCCTCGGAGCACGAGCTCGTCGTCGCCGTCGCCGCCGTAGATGTGGTTTCCACTGGTCCATAGTCGGGAGTCCAACCTGGAGTAGATGTAGTCGTAGTTGTTGAGTTCGTAGTCGGTGTAGTTACGGTTCCGGTAAAAGTAGGCGAGCTGCGCCGTGATCGCGTCGTCGCCGGCGCCTCCGTAGATTTTGGCATCGTCCGCGACGACCGAGACGCAGTCGTCGTGAGCCGTGAGTCGCAGCGTGAAACCGTCGTCTTTTTCGTATTCGTTGTGCTGGAACGTGCCGGCGACGCAGACGCACGCGTCTCTGTCGCCGAAGTCGAGGTCGGCGCCCGCGTACATCAAATCGCTCACGTCGTATCGGGCAGGCGTCCTCGGATTTCACCTTGGCGTCGTCCTTGAGCGAGCAGCGCTCCTCCGCGTCCCTCGCGACGTAGTCGCAGTCGTACTTCGCCTTCTTCCAGTACCAGGACGTGCTGTCGGCGCACTCGGCCGCGGTCGGCGCCGGGCAGGGAGCACTTCGGTTAATTCGGTTCCGGTTCGGTCGAGGCCGCCGCGAGACCACCGTCACCGTCACCGGGGATTTGGGGGCGTAACCGTGGAAAACCGGAACCGGAACCGCAACCGTAACCGGGACTTTCAGCGCCTTACCGAAACCGGAACCGTCCCGGAGCGGCTCGCAACCGTCGCGCGGTACGGTGCTTTCAGGCCCTCCACGCCTACCCAACGGCGTTGTGCGACTTCAGAGCGCCGATTCTTGTTGCGGGGACGCTATTCAGCCCAGTCCCATCACGAAAATCCCACAAATAATGCCTATTTTGAGCCCCACCGGCCTCCACCGGCCTCCACCGGGCTGCCCTGGGGCCTCACCGTAACCGGAACCGTCCTAGAGCCCCAATAACCGTGCAAAAACCGTAACCGTACCGTAACCGTCACCGCGTCGACGGGGGGGCTTACCGTAACCGTACCGAAGCCGGTTTTTTACGGTTTTCGGTGTCTAACCCTAACCGAAGTGCTCCCTGCCGCCGGGACCTCGCACGCGCCGCAGGTCATCGGGCAGGCGTCTTCGCCCTTGACCTACGATGCGCCACGGTTACGAGTTTCTGTCTCCGGGCGAGCGCGCTGCGTCCGACTTTGAACTCGTCCTTCTTCTTGCAGTTCTTGCTCTTCTTGCTCACGTAGGCCTCGCAGGTCTTGGCCCGGTCCTCGTAGTACCAGCTCGTCGAGTCCGCGCAGTCGGAGAGGAGGGAGGCAGCCGCGCCGGCAGCTGCGAGGGCTAGGACGCCTAACGATACCCCGGATCGCTTCGCCATAGCTGCTTCGAGCCTGGATTACAATGCAGCAGCACGATCCTGATTTTTTGTTTGATGATTGCTTGCTCAACTGATAGGATATGCCTGATTTTTTTTTATGATTGCTTGCTCCAACTGATAGGATATGTGAGTGCAGTTAGAGGTCCTCGCCGCGCGCGCAGCCGTCGAGAGGCACGCGCGCGAAGAGCGCCGCGCCGCCGCCGCCGGCCGCGTTCCACTCGGCCGTCCGGTCCCAGAGCCTGGCCGCGAGCGCGTCGTCCCGCGCGTCCGGCGACGGCGCGACGGCCTCGAAGCCGCCCGCCGTCGCCTTCGCGTAGTAGCCCCCCGGCGCCAGGTCCGGCGCCGTCGCCGCGTGGACGATGCTGCCGCAGCCCGCGGCCGGCGTCGGCAGGAGCGCGTGGCGGAGCGGCGCCGCGAGGCCGAAGAGCGGGTGGTAGCGCCCGAGCTCCGTGTTCACCATGCCCGGAGTGCACGACACCGTGAGCGTCTCCGGCCGGCGCTTCGCGAGCTCGCGCGCGAAGAGCAGGTTCATCTGCTTCGACACGGCGTAGGCGGACGCGTCGGGCGTTCCTCCCTCGAGCACCTCCCCGACGCGTCCGCGCTTCTCCAAGCGCGACGCCACCACGACGCAGCGCTTCACGTCAAAGGCCGCAAGGACGCGCAACGTCAGCGCCGCGGGGCCGCAGTGGTTCGTCCGCACCGTCGCGTCGACGCCGTCGACGACGTCCTCGCCGAATTTCTTGCCGCTCATGAGCCCCGCGTTGTTCACGAGCGCGTCGATGGCGCCGCCGGGCACGGCCGCCGGCAGCGCCTCGGCGACGAATGCGGCGATGGAGTCCAGGGAGGCGAGGTCGCAGGTCGCCGTCGTCACCGACCCGGCGACGGCGCCGCGCTGCACCGCGAGCGCGCGCCGGAGGCGGCCCGCGGCCGCGTCGCACTTGTCGCGCGACCGGCAGACCATGACGACGCTGGCGCCGCGCTTCGCGAGCTCGCGCGACGTCGCGAAGCCGAGGCCCGTGTTCGCGCCCGTGACGACGTGCACCTGGTGCTGCAGCGACTGGGCGACGGGCGCGCGCTGCGCGAGCTGGCGCCGCAAGGTGACGACCGCGCCGACGACGGCGGCGCCGACGGACAGCGTCGTCGCGAGCCAGCGGTCGTCGGACATTGGCCGTGCACAGATGCTCACACGGCGCAGGACAGAGCGAACTCGGGCAGGACCATCACCAGACCAAAAGGTAACTTGTCTGCAACTTTCACTTCAAGAATCTGAGCTCTCCCGGCCCTTCGGGTTTCGCACCCCTTCGCGAGCTAAGTCGACGTCGGCGACGCCGAGCCCGGCCAGGTGGCGCCTTACTCGCCGACGTTCGTCTCTCGCAGGTTCCGCGCGGCGACTTCGGGCGGCGTCATCAGCACCATGCAGTGCGTCCCGTACTCGAGGCCGCCCTTCTTGGAGAAGATCGGCGCGATCTCGATGTGCCAGTGGAACCACGGCACGGAGCGCTCCGCGAAGGGCGGGTTGCGCACGACGAGGTTGTAGTCCGGGTTGCCGCAGTACGCGTAGAGCTTGCGGCTGACGACGCGGAGGCAGTCCGCGAGCGCCGCGAGGGACGTCTGCCTCGCCGTGCCCCGCGGGTTCGTCCCGTCGAGCGCGTGCGTCGGCGCCGCGTCGAGGAGGAAGTCCGCGTGGTGCTCCCAGGGCATGACGTAGACGGCGTAGTCGCAGGGCGGCGCCCAGGGGCAGAAGGCGACGAAGATTTCGTTGCCGTAGACGACGAGCTCCCGGCCCGACGCGCGGTCCGACGACGGCGCGCGCAGCCGCCGCGCCATCCGGCAGTAGACGCAGGCGCCGTTGACCTCGTGGAACGTCCGCGCGCAGGCGAGGCACGTCTTCGTGTGCGAGGGCACGACGGGGAAGCCGATGAGCTGGCTGTGCGGGTGCTGCTGCGTCGCGCCGGCCTCCTCGCCCGAGTTCTTGAAGATCATCGCGAAGGGCAGGTGGTTCGCGTCGCGGATCGCCCGGTAGCGCCGCGTCCAGAGGAGCAGGACGCCGTAGACCTCCGCGAGGCTCATGCACGACCCGAAGGACGCGTTGTGCCGCGGGCTCTCGAGGAAGAGCTCGTGGACGCCCGCGCCGGCCCACGACTGGTGGAGCCCGCCGGCGGCGCTCGCGTGCGCCGCGCCCGCGCCGGCCCCGGGCAGCTGGCGCATCGTCGGGAACCGCTGCTCGATGTTCCGCGCGATCCACGTGCAGCTCCGACGCCTCAGATCCGCGGCGGCGGCGGTCGCCGCGGTCGCGTCCGCGCTCTCGAGCACGGCCTCGAGCCAGAGGTCGTCGACGCCGCCCTGGTCCTCGTCCCCCGGGTGGTCCTCGTCGACGGCGACGCTCGCGACGGCCGCGCCGACGCCCGCGCGCACGCCGAGGCCGCGGCCCGCGCCGCCGCCGGAGAGGAGGCAGACGTCGAGGTTCACGATCTCGCCGGGCGCGGGGATGTCCGGCCGGCACTTCGCGCAGAACGGGCAGCTCCGCGCCGCGCCGCCGAGGCGGCTCCGCCGGGCCTCGGGCAGCCGCGACGCCACGAGCCGCGCGACGTAGGGCCCGACGCCCTTGGCGGCGAGCGGCAGGCCCTCGGGCGGCTCGTCGCCGCTCAGCAGGAGCGCGTCCTGCACCGCGGAGAACGCCGCCGGGCCCCGCGCCGTCGCGCGCGTCGCGAGGGCGACGAGGGCCGCGAAGGTCTCCGGATGCTCGGCCCTCCAGCGCTCGCCGCCCTCCTCGTCGAAGATCGGCCAGCGATCGAGGAGCGCCGCGCCCGCGCGGCGGAAGGGGTCGCCCGTGAGCCGCGCGAGGCGCTCCGGCGCGATGACGACGACGCTGCCCGTGGCCGCGTTGCGCCGAATCTCCGGCGGCGGCGGGATGGCGGCCTCGCCGCTCGGCGGCGGCGGCGGCGACCGCGGCGACGCGGCGGGGGGCTCCACCGAGACTTCGCCGGCGGCCGCGGCCGCCAGCATGCCCTTGGCGTCGGTCCACCGTGTGTAAAACATGGTGGTAGGTTTGCAGGTGACCTTTTTTGGGCCGTCTTCCTGAGGGTCGTACAACACGCTGAGAATCCCTTCCTCGTAGATCTCGTTCGATAGCTCAAACTCGCTCGGACATGTGGCGCTCTTGATGACGCGCCACAGCGCTCGGGGCTTGACTTCGTGTAGTCGCTCGTGCGTCACGGCACCGTCCGCGGCCGCCGCGACGACGTAGCTCCCGTGGTGCGTCAGGAGCGTCACCTTGCGCTCGGCGACGACGGTGATGGTGAACCACTCCCAGCTTCGCACGTGGGGCAGCACTCGCATGCTGCCATCCTTCCAGGCCGAAAGGAAGCCCTCGCCGCACCGAATCCAGCACAGGTCCGAGCTCCTGCCCTCTTGCATGGCTTCCCAGACCGAGGCCCAGCTCCTCGCCGGCGCCTCAAGCAAAGTTGTTGCCCTCAACATTCGAGGTCCTCAGCCGACCTCTGCGCGCGCCTTCCCGCGCCGTCGGACCCACGCTGGCGCGCCGGCTCGCGCTCGTCGCGTCGCTCTCGACGACGGCCCGCGCCCTCTCGACGGCGGCCGGCGCCATGACGCGCCTGCAGATGATCCTGTCGCCGGCCAAGACCATGAACTTCGCGCCGAGCCCCGTCGCCGACGCCGCCGGCGCGAGCGAGGCCGTGGGCCTCGACCGGGTGAACGAGCTCGCCGCCATCCTCAAGAAGAAGTCCAAGGGCGAGCTCAAGGCGCTTCTCGACGTCTCCGACGCCATCGCCGCGGAGAACCACAAACGCTTCGCCGAATGGGACTCGGCCGAGTCGCTGCAGGCGTGCGTCGCCTACGACGGCATGGCCTACGCCGGCGTCCCGTGGCGGCGACGATGTTCGAGAGATGTTGACCGGGAAGAGACATCGTGACCGTCGTGCTTCGTAGGCCTACGCGAAGCTCGACGCGCGCTCTCTCACGCCTGCGGACCTCGCCGTCGGCCAGCGGCGTCTGCTCATCCTCTCGGGCATGTGGGGGCCCGTGCGGCCGCTCGACCGCATCAAGGCCTACCGCCTCGAGATGGCCTGCAAGAAGCTGCCGCCGCCGCGCGCGAGGCTCGCCGAGTACTGGCGGGACCTCTCGACGGACGCGCTCCTCGCGGGCTTCGACGGCGACGACAAGCTGCTCGTCAACATCGCGTCGGACGAGTACGCGAATGCCATCGACTTCGACCGCGCGCGCGCCGCCGGCGTCAAGGTCCTCAAGGTCGACTTCCACCAGGGCGGGAAAAAAGCGCCGACGGTGCACCTCAAGTACGGCCGGGGCCTCGTGGCGCGCTACGTCATGCAGCACGACGTCGACGACGTCGCGGGGCTGAAGAAGTTCGACCTCGAGGGCTACGCGTTCGCGTCCCTGGACGAGTCCACGATCGTCTTCGCGCGCGCCGCCGCGCCGCCGAAGAAGCCCGCGTCCAAGAAGCGCAAGGCGGAGTAACGCGGCTCCTCTCGCGGACACCCCCTCCCCCCCCAGATTCGGCCTGGGCGTCGTGTATGCGAGGGGGCGGGGGGGGGAGGGCGCCGTCCGCGTCTCCGCGCCTACGCGGTGTACTTGTCGAAGACGAGGCAGGCGTTGGTGCCGCCGAAGCCGAAGGAGTTGGACATGACGCGGTGGACGGGGCCCTCGTAGCGCTCCGTGAGGATGGGCACGCCCTCGGCCTCGTCGACGATGTCGAAGATGTTCGCGGACTCGGCGAGGAAGCCGCGGTCCATCATGAGGAGGCTGTAGATGGCCTCGTGGACGCCGGCGACGGAGAGGGCGTGGCCGGAGAGGGACTTGGTGGAGCCGACCTTGGGGAAGTAGTCGAACTCCTCGTCGAAGAGGCCCTGGATCGCGCCGAGCTCCTTGACGTCGCCGACGGGCGTCGACGTGCCGTGCGTGTTCACGTAGTCGACGGGCTTGTCGCCGCCGATCTTGTTGGCCATGGCGATGGCCTCGCGCATGCAGCGCTGGCCGCCCTCGCCGGAGGGCGCGACCATGTCGTAGCCGTCGGACGTCGCCGAGTAGCCGACGACCTCGGCGTAGATGCGCGCGCCGCGCGCCTTCGCGTGCTCGAGCTCCTCGAGGACGACGATGCCGCCGCCGGCGGCGATGACGAAGCCGTCGCGGTTCTTGTCGAAGGCGCGGGACGCGTGCTCCGGGTCGTCGTTGTAGGACGACGACAGCGCGCCCATGCCGTCGAACATGATCGTCGACCCCCAGTTCTCGAGCTCGCCCGCGCCGCAGAACATGATGTCGTGCTTGTCGAGCTGGATCTGCTCCATGCCGATGCCGATGCAGTGGGCCCCCGTGGAGCAGGCCGACGACACGGAGTAGGACGAGCCCTGGAGCTTGAACGCCGTCGCGAGCACCGCCGACACGGTGCTGCCCATGGTCCGCGTGACGCGGTAGGGCCCGATCTTCTTGTTCTTGCCCGCGGCGACGGCGTCGAGCGTCTCGCCGACGTCGGGGATGGACGTGCCGCCCTGGCCGAGGATGCCGCCCGCGCGCGGGTTGTTCTCGTACTTGTCCTTGGGCAGGTCCGCGTCGATGATCGCGTCGTTCATGGCGATGTAGGCGTACTTGGCGTTCTCGCCCATGAAGCGCGCGGACTTGCGGTCGATGACCTTGACCTCCTCGCCCTTGTCGAGGTCGAGGCTCGGCCGCCCGGCGACCTGCGACTTCATGCCGAGCTCCGCGTACTTGGGCATGAACTTGATGCCGCTCTTCGCGTGGTAGAGCGAATCGGCGACCTCGTCGAGGGAGTTGCCGAGGCAGGAGCAGATGCCCATGCCCGTCACGACGACGCGCCGGAGCGCCGGCAGCGTCGCGGCCATCTCCACGGAAGGCGCCGCGGACCGGGCGGACCGCGTGGCCAGGGCGCGGCGCCCGCCCCCGAGCCGCGCGGGGCCGGGGGCGACGAGGGCATCGCTCGAGCAGAGGAGCGCGACGAGCACGGCGGCGGTCCGCATCGCGGGTTACGACGGCGTCGCGCTCTACTTGTAGCAGCGCGCGTATGCGAGCTTGCGTCGGCCAGAGGACTTCAACCCAAAGCACCTAAAAACATTGAAGTTTGCTGGCCGCAGCCCCAGCGGCGGCTCAAGTGGCGGCTCGTCTACGTCGGCGGCTCCGGTCTTCCGGCTCGGCGTCGGCTTGCCGTCGCCGCCGGGCCGGGCCTCTTCATGCGCGCGCGGGGCCCGCGGCGGGATCGCGAGCAGCCCCACTGCACAAAGGGAATCCGGGAGACATTACAACAGTTGTGCTCCAAAGGAGCGACAGTGCTCGTTGGAGGGAGCGCCTTCGCCGCGGCGCAGAAGAAGCGGCTCGCGGGTCGCGCAACTCCTCCGGGGGGTTGGCGTGTGGGGATTTGATTTTCTGTGTTTTTCGCCCGCGTCACAGGACGGGGCTGAGCTCGTCGGGGCCGAGCGCCTCGAAGGTCACGGACGTGTCCGCGATGGCCGCGCCGACGACCGACGACGTGAGCGAGAAGCGGTCCAGCGACGCGTCCGGCAGCGACGGCTCGCGGTCGGCCGGCGGCGCGTCGGCCGGCGGCGGCGGCGGCGGCGCGGCCGGCGCGGCGCCGGCGAGCTGGTGGGGCACGGGGTGGGGCTGGACGTGGGCGAGCGGGTGCGCGATGCTGCGGGGCTGCGCGAAGGGGCTCGTGTCCGTCGGCAGCTCGCCGCGCGCGGCGATGTCCTCGAGGGCCGCGTTGACGACGCCGAAGGTGCACCGGTCCTCCGGGTCGTGGCACCAGCACTTGTCGATGAGCTGGGCCAGCGCCGGGTCCACGCGCTCGAGGGACAGGAGCGACGGCCGGCCGCCGGAGAGCGTCTCGGCGATGGCCTCGGCGGGCGTCTTGTCCGTGAAGGGCCTGGCCTGCCAGAGCGCGATCTGCCAGGCGCAGACGGCGTAGGAGTAGACGTCCGCCGGGTAGGCGTAGGGCCGGTGCTGCGCGACCTCCGGCGCCATCCAGCGCAGCGTGCCCGTGCCGCCCGTGTGCTCGTCGTTCAGCGACTTGGACGTGTGGAGGCACGACAGGCCAAAGTCGGAGATCTTCGCCACGCCGTCGGCGTCCAACAGGATGTTGTCGGGCTTGAGGTCCCGGTGCAGGTGCCCCATGGAGTGGATGTAGGCCATGCCGCGGCCGACGTCGAGCATGATCCCGACGCGCGCGCCGTGCGGCGGCGGCGGCGCGTCGCCCTTGGCCGTGGACCGCAGCCTCTGCGCCACGGACCCGCCGGGCAGGAATTCCAGCAGAATGCCGCAGGACACGGGCGGCGCGCGCGCGATGCCGAGGATGCGGACGCAGTTCGGGTGGCTGAACGTCGCCAAGGTCGAGATCTCGCGGAGGAGCTGCTGCGCGGCCTGCGTCGGCTGGCCCGTGGGCAGCTGGCGCGCGAGCACGAGCTTGATGGCCACGTGCTCGCCGCGCCACAGCGCCAGATGCGTCGAGCCCGTCGACCCCGTGCCGAGCACCTGGCCGAACGTGATGTCGTGGACCGACACCTGGACGAGCCGCGCGCGGTCGTGGCGCGGCGGCGGCGGCGGCGGCGGGGCCGCCGGGGGCGGCACCATGCCCGGCGCCGCGCGCCGCAGGTCGTCGGGCGACGGCGGCGGCCGCCGCGGCGGCGCGGCGCCCGAGTCGTCCGACGACCCGGACGGCGGCGCGACGGCCGCGGGCGGCCGCAGCTGGTCGCCGTAGACCGTCTCGTAGAGGTTCAGCGGCAGGGCCGCGTGGAGGCTCGCGATCTCGACGACCTGGAGCTTGTCGATCCAGTCCGTCATGAGCTGCCAGAGGCTCGACGGGTTGAGCCCGCCGACCTTGCCCGCGAGCGCGAAGGACGTGGCCTCGCCGCGGCTCCGCGCCGTGGCGGCCTTGGCCGCGCCGCCCCAGGGGTCCACGGCGTGCGTGTCCGCGAGCAAAGCGCAGTGGAGGGACACGACGTCCTCGGGCGCGCGCGTCGCGGCCTCGAAGTTGCGAGCGGCGAGGATCTCGCGGACGTGGCGGCCGAGCTTGGACTCGTCGGCCTCGTCGGGCGCGTCGAAGAACATGCAGCGCAGCGCGATGCACTGGGCCTTCAATTCCGAGAAGATGGCGATGGCCGCGCGGAGCTCGTCGCGGCCGGGCAGGTCGCGGCCGCGCGCGGCGCCAAGCGTCCCGTGGCTCGGCTCCGTGCCGCTCTCGCCCGACGGGGCCCGGGACGTCTCGCCGGCGGAGTGGCCACTGCCGGAGCCGCCCGAGTCGTCGCGGCTGTTCTGGTCGCCGCCGCGGCCGAGCTTGTAGCCGAGCATGCCCGTCGTCAACGCGCGCTGGAGCCCCGCGTACTCCTTGAGCCGCAGCAGCATGTGGACGTAGGAGAGCAGCTTCACGTTGGACCGCGGCAGGCACACGGACCCGTGGAGCTCCAGCAGGCGCCGGAGCACGACGGAGTAGGACCGCGCGACGTCCGCGTAGCGCCTGGGCGGGACACGAGTCCCGACCTTGGAGGCTCCTAGCTCGGTCATTTTCGGCTCATTTTTGGACGAGCGATCGTCTCTCGGAGCGGTCTCGACGCGCGGATGCTTTTTCCGGAACGCGCGCGCGCGGCACACTCACGTTGAAGCGACCTTGAATCGCTCTCGTCCGCGCCGCGTCGCGCCGCCGCTCGACGTGGCCCGCGACCACCACTTTCCGGATGGACTCGAGGTCGGGCTCCATGGACCCCATCCTCCCGTCGAGCTCGCCTAGGGCCTCAGCCCAGGAGTCGTCGACCGCGCGGTGCCCGCCGGAGCCCTCGGAGTCGCCGTCGTAGCGGTGGCCCGCGTCGTCGGTGAACGCGCGGCTCAGGCGGTCCAGGGCCGACGACGTGCCCGACTCGCGCTTCTTGAAGCCCCCGAGCCAGCGCCGCATGTCGTTCCAGACGGAGATGGTGTTCGCCTGCTGCTTGACGAGCGACCTAAGAGCGGGACGCGTATCCGGGCCCCGTTTCTTCGCGCGCGCGCGCGCGGCGCGCGAGGCGTCCCGGGCGCGGGCCGCGCGCCGGCCGCCCCAGGAGTTGTCCGCGACGTGGAGCGTCATGAGCCCGCGCTCGCGCTGGAGCTGGTGCATGAGCAGGCCGAGGCGCGCCGTGAGCTCCGGGGCCCGGAAATCGTCGTCCGCGGGGACCTCCGGGCCGCGGGGCCGCTTCGCGAGGGGCTCCATGGGCGCCCGCCGCGCGCCGCCGGCGCCGCCGGGGACGTCACGGGAAGGAGACTTTGGCACGAGCCCCGGTCGCTGGGCGCGGACGCGCCGGCCGGCCCTCGAAATCGCGTCTGTGTGTCAGCTCGCGTGAAATTGCCACTATTTTGTTG